ACTATGTTGTTTTTATGCCTTACTATAGTATGTTGTTTTTTGTGACTTTTTATGCCTTACTATACTATGACGTTTTTTTGACTTTGTATGCCTTACTATAGTATGTCGTTTTTTTTACTTTTTATGCCTTACTATACTATGACGTTTTTATGACTTTTTATGCCTTGCTATACTATGACTTTTTATGCCTTGCTATACTATGTCGTTTTTATGACTTTTTATGCCTTATTATATTATGATGTTTTTATGACTTTTTATGCCTTATTATTTTATGACTTTATATGCCTTACTATACTATGTCGTTTTTATGACTTTTCATGCCTTGAAACATTATGTTTTTATGACTTTTTATGCCTTACTATACTATGCCTTTTTATGCCTTACTCGTTTTATGCCTTACTACAGTATGACATTTTATGCTCTACTATAGAATGTTTCTTGAAATTTTTATGCCTTACTCGTTTTATGCCTTACTACAGTATGACATTTTATGCTCTACTATAGAATGTTTCTTGAAATTTTTATGCCTTACTCGTTTTATGCCTTACTACAGTATGACATTTTATGCTCTACTATAGAATGTTTCTTGAAATTTTTATGCCTTACTCGTTTTATGCCTTACTACAGTATGACATTTTATGCTCTACTATAGAATGTTTCTTGAAATTTTTATGCCTTACTCGTTTTATGCCTTACTACAGTATGACATTTTATGCTCTACTATAGAATGTTTCTTGAAATTTTTATGCCTTACTCGTTTTATGCCTTACTACAGTATGACATTTTATGCTCTACTATAGAATGTTTCTTGAAATTTTTATGCCTTACTCGTTTTATGCCTTACTACAGTATGACATTTTATGCTCTACTATAGAATGTTTCTTGAAATTTTTATGCCTTACTCGTTTTATGCCTTACTACAGTATGACATTTTATGCTCTACTATAGAATGTTTCTTGAAATTTTTATGCCTTACTCGTTTTATGCCTTACTACAGTATGACATTTTATGCTCTACTATAGAATGTTTCTTGAAATTTTTATGCCTTACTCGTTTTATGCCTTACTACAGTATGACATTTTATGCTCTACTATAGAATGTTTCTTGAAATTTTTATGCCTTACTCGTTTTATGCCTTACTACAGTATGACATTTTATGCTCTACTATAGAATGTTTCTTGAAATTTTTATGCCTTACTCGTTTTATGCCTTACTACAGTATGACATTTTATGCTCTACTATAGAATGTTTCTTGAAATTTTTATGCCTTACTCGTTTTATGCCTTACTACAGTATGACATTTTATGCTCTACTATAGAATGTTTCTTGAAATTTTTATGCCTTACTCGTTTTATGCCTTACTACAGTATGACATTTTATGCTCTACTATAGAATGTTTCTTGAAATTTTTATGCCTTACTCGTTTTATGCCTTACTACAGTATGACATTTTATGCTCTACTATAGAATGTTTCTTGAAATTTTTATGCCTTACTCGTTTTATGCCTTACTACAGTATGACATTTTATGCTCTACTATAGAATGTTTCTTGAAATTTTTATGCCTTACTCGTTTTATGCCTTACTACAGTATGACATTTTATGCTCTACTATAGAATGTTTCTTGAAATTTTTATGCCTTACTCGTTTTATGCCTTACTACAGTATGACATTTTATGCTCTACTATAGAATGTTTCTTGAAATTTTTATGCCTTACTCGTTTTATGCCTTACTACAGTATGACATTTTATGCTCTACTATAGAATGTTTCTTGAAATTTTTATGCCTTACTCGTTTTATGCCTTACTACAGTATGACATTTTATGCTCTACTATAGAATGTTTCTTGAAATTTTTATGCCTTACTCGTTTTATGCCTTACTACAGTATGACATTTTATGCTCTACTATAGAATGTTTCTTGAAATTTTTATGCCTTACTCGTTTTATGCCTTACTACAGTATGACATTTTATGCTCTACTATAGAATGTTTCTTGAAATTTTTATGCCTTACTCGTTTTATGCCTTACTACAGTATGACATTTTATGCTCTACTATAGAATGTTTCTTGAAATTTTTATGCCTTACTCGTTTTATGCCTTACTACAGTATGACATTTTATGCTCTACTATAGAATGTTTCTTGAAATTTTTATGCCTTACTCGTTTTATGCCTTACTACAGTATGACATTTTATGCTCTACTATAGAATGTTTCTTGAAATTTTTATGCCTTACTCGTTTTATGCCTTACTACAGTATGACATTTTATGCTCTACTATAGAATGTTTCTTGAAATTTTTATGCCTTACTCGTTTTATGCCTTACTACAGTATGACATTTTATGCTCTACTATAGAATGTTTCTTGAAATTTTTATGCCTTACTCGTTTTATGCCTTACTACAGTATGACATTTTATGCTCTACTATAGAATGTTTCTTGAAATTTTTATGCCTTACTCGTTTTATGCCTTACTACAGTATGACATTTTATGCTCTACTATAGAATGTTTCTTGAAATTTTTATGCCTTACTCGTTTTATGCCTTACTACAGTATGACATTTTATGCTCTACTATAGAATGTTTCTTGAAATTTTTATGCCTTACTCGTTTTATGCCTTACTACAGTATGACATTTTATGCTCTACTATAGAATGTTTCTTGAAATTTTTATGCCTTACTCGTTTTATGCCTTACTACAGTATGACATTTTATGCTCTACTATAGAATGTTTCTTGAAATTTTTATGCCTTACTCGTTTTATGCCTTACTACAGTATGACATTTTATGCTCTACTATAGAATGTTTCTTGAAATTTTTATGCCTTACTCGTTTTATGCCTTACTACAGTATGACATTTTATGCTCTACTATAGAATGTTTCTTGAAATTTTTATGCCTTACTCGTTTTATGCCTTACTACAGTATGACATTTTATGCTCTACTATAGAATGTTTCTTGAAATTTTTATGCCTTACTCGTTTTATGCCTTACTACAGTATGACATTTTATGCTCTACTATAGAATGTTTCTTGAAATTTTTATGCCTTACTCGTTTTATGCCTTACTACAGTATGACATTTTATGCTCTACTATAGAATGTTTCTTGAAATTTTTATGCCTTACTCGTTTTATGCCTTACTACAGTATGACATTTTATGCTCTACTATAGAATGTTTCTTGAAATTTTTATGCCTTACTCGTTTTATGCCTTACTACAGTATGACATTTTATGCTCTACTATAGAATGTTTCTTGAAATTTTTATGCCTTACTCGTTTTATGCCTTACTACAGTATGACATTTTATGCTCTACTATAGAATGTTTCTTGAAATTTTTATGCCTTACTCGTTTTATGCCTTACTACAGTATGACATTTTATGCTCTACTATAGAATGTTTCTTGAAATTTTTATGCCTTACTCGTTTTATGCCTTACTACAGTATGACATTTTATGCTCTACTATAGAATGTTTCTTGAAATTTTTATGCCTTACTCGTTTTATGCCTTACTACAGTATGACATTTTATGCTCTACTATAGAATGTTTCTTGAAATTTTTATGCCTTACTCGTTTTATGCCTTACTACAGTATGACATTTTATGCTCTACTATAGAATGTTTCTTGAAATTTTTATGCCTTACTCGTTTTATGCCTTACTACAGTATGACATTTTATGCTCTACTATAGAATGTTTCTTGAAATTTTTATGCCTTACTCGTTTTATGCCTTACTACAGTATGACATTTTATGCTCTACTATAGAATGTTTCTTGAAATTTTTATGCCTTACTCGTTTTATGCCTTACTACAGTATGACATTTTATGCTCTACTATAGAATGTTTCTTGAAATTTTTATGCCTTACTCGTTTTATGCCTTACTACAGTATGACATTTTATGCTCTACTATAGAATGTTTCTTGAAATTTTTATGCCTTACTCGTTTTATGCCTTACTACAGTATGACATTTTATGCTCTACTATAGAATGTTTCTTGAAATTTTTATGCCTTACTCGTTTTATGCCTTACTACAGTATGACATTTTATGCTCTACTATAGAATGTTTCTTGAAATTTTTATGCCTTACTCGTTTTATGCCTTACTACAGTATGACATTTTATGCTCTACTATAGAATGTTTCTTGAAATTTTTATGCCTTACTCGTTTTATGCCTTACTACAGTATGACATTTTATGCTCTACTATAGAATGTTTCTTGAAATTTTTATGCCTTACTCGTTTTATGCCTTACTACAGTATGACATTTTATGCTCTACTATAGAATGTTTCTTGAAATTTTTATGCCTTACTCGTTTTATGCCTTACTACAGTATGACATTTTATGCTCTACTATAGAATGTTTCTTGAAATTTTTATGCCTTACTCGTTTTATGCCTTACTACAGTATGACATTTTATGCTCTACTATAGAATGTTTCTTGAAATTTTTATGCCTTACTCGTTTTATGCCTTACTACAGTATGACATTTTATGCTCTACTATAGAATGTTTCTTGAAATTTTTATGCCTTACTCGTTTTATGCCTTACTACAGTATGACATTTTATGCTCTACTATAGAATGTTTCTTGAAATTTTTATGCCTTACTATCCTGTTGTTTTTATGACTTTTTATGCCTTACTACAGTATGACATTTTATGCTCTACTATAGTATGTTTCTTGAAATTTTTATGCCTTACTTTATTATATTTTTATGAATTTACTATTTTTATACTACTACTACTATACTATTACTATACTGACTTTTTAATGCTGCCATACTTTGACATTTTCATGCCTTAAAACATGAATTTTTATGACATATTGTACTGACTTTTTTAATGCCTTACTATAATGTTTTTAGGCATTCACTTACTACAACTGTTTAATTAGTTTTTTAGCCCCACCATACTATGACATTTTTATTGCTTAAACTGACTTTTTTTAATGATTCATTGTACTTTACTTACATTTTTGATTTCCTAGCATTTACAGGCCTCCAAAAACCTTTCAAATTTAACAATCTCATGTTTACACTACACATTCTGAGAGGTCTCAAGCCACCAATGTTAAGAGCCACTTACATAGATACATAGTTTTTCTCTAAATGTGTAATATACACAAATAAACCATAACTAAGAATTAAACAGTTTATTAAAAGTATAGTTACAACTAATTTGTGGGTCTTTAAACAAAAACTATATTTACAGGGAAGACAGCATCACAAGTCTGTTCAGTCAGCATCATGGCCATATCATCCCGACAGATGCGTTTCATTTTTATACATTATATTACCATTTGTTTCACACTGACGTGATCAAATGCTGTATTTCCATATTTTTTTAAAAATTAGAAGAAACATTAATTCCTGAATTTCTTACATGTGAAAGACAAAAATTGGAATTGATTTATTGCTCACATATGATGAGAATTAAATGAATGTGATTCATTTAAGATTTTTGTTTGTTTTTTCTTGTACAATGAAATGACGTGTCAGATCCAATTCCAATCAGTCGTTGTCTGAGAAGTAAAAATCCTCTTCCTCTCCACTGTCAGACAACTCTTCATCATTTTCTGGGAACATCTCCCAAACAACAAAGGTGTCATTTTCTGGTGAAAAAGAAAAGAAAGGGATTATGTTATGCAACACGTGTTACAAAAGAAATGCAGCAATAAATGCTTTCAGTTATAGCCTTTGAAATGTAATCTATTACTCTCTGAAAACCTTAAGGTGAGGATTGCCTCTAAACACAGACTCATACAAGTTAAACACCATTATCTTGAGTAAAATACATGAATTGCAGACTACAAAATGATATTTGCTGTAGGCGCATTGTTTTTTATTGATGTTTCTATTATTTTGGCCTTCCCCTGAAAGTAAAGGTACATGAATTACATTTCTAACATTGCCATGACACGGGTGTAAACTCATGACCAGCACATTCCTCAGGAAACCTACCTGTGTTACCACATCTCTTCATTGTTCGTTTAACTGATGGTGTGGGTGTAAAGCTCTGAAATAAACGACAGGATAGAATGAGAAAGAATGATACTGTTTTCCAATACAAAACAATAATCCATGTGTTTCAAGGCAACAAGAATCTCAGACATGAACCTTATAATACCTTTGCAGGACGAGCCTGTTTGCACACATTAAACTGATTTTTTTTCATCCTCTTCTGGAGCTTATAGACATACTTGTCATCATGGTTCCTTAAAAAAGATACAAAAATACATAAGTTAGTTGTTGTATTTCAATCAACTCTTACAAGCCAGAATGCAGTAGTCAGCACCATTCACCTGTTTGGAGAGCCCATCATGCCAGGAGTGATATGCAGACACTGAGGAGTCTTCACCTCAGGAAAAACCTTCGACATAGGGGTCAGGGGCTCCAGGTCCGACATTGCGAAGTCATGGTCTTCACTTAGACACATGGAGGGGATCTATCCATCAAAGACAGACACAAGCGGAACAGTAAGTCACACATTAGTGTCATACTCATTAGATAGAGACTCCCGCATAACATGATATTTTTGCAAAATTCAAAAAACAGGAAGAGACAAACCTCAAAGCGTTTATTCTGCATGTACGCAGAGCTGAAAACGTCATCAACGTCTTCTCTGGGCATGGCCTCCAGGAACTGACGCACCTGCTGCTTTCTCTTTAAGGTTCCCGCTCGGGCAGATATCACAGGTTGATCTGTAACTACACATAGATTCATAGTTTATCAAATGTCTGCATTTCTTCTCTTGCAAAAACATTCAGATAATTTTTGTTTATAAAGAACAACTTAAAACCCTCTCACTACATCCATTTATTTTCTCTAAGGCCTCTATTTTAATTATTGGTTAATTGTTTACAACTAAAAATGCCAACAAACCATAATTTCTCTGATCAACACGTACATTTTACAAAGGCATTATTACTGTGGTGCTATTGTATTGCATAATACTGAACAAGTTATTCTGTAATGTATTTTCCTCCTGTAGACATTTCAAAAACTTGACTTTAGCGCTACAATTAACAGTTATTTTCATTATTAATGAATTTATTATTGTCTCCATTAACCGATAAATAGTTTGGTCCATAAAATGTCAGAAAAAACCTTTTGCTGAAGGTGAAGTCTTGTTTTGTTCAACAGTCTCAGTCTAATACCAAAGATATTCAGTTTACTAGAAATAAATATACTGAATCCACAATTCACTCTGACTTATGTCTTCAGGCTGTAGTTTCCATTGCTGTGTTGAATTACTACTAAACTGTAACTGGTTGCTTCTATTTTGTCCAGACAGAAATGCTGCACAGTCTACACCAAAAATTTTTCCTACCTGGATCTTTTGGTGCTCCCACCTTCTCCTTTCTGGGTTTCTGGGCTCTCTTAGCGGGGCTCTGTGATGTTCCCTGGGATGTGTGCTGGTTGTGGCACTCCTCTGCAGAGCGTGTTCCTACCATCCTTGCCACCTTTGCCCAGTAACCTGCTATGTGCATAGGATAGTAGGACACAGCCCTGGAAAACAAATGCACATACATAGATACGCCAGAAAGCCATAAGTTTATGATTTGAGAAATGTGTCACACCAATGCTGCAAAATATAAAACTTACTCTTGCAGCTTCATGAGCTCTGCCATGGTCCACTCGTCTTTATCATGCTCTTCTGGAATAATTGTGCTGCCTTTGTTTGCTTTGTGTGTCTTGCTGGATTTCGCTGACTTGGATAAAAGCTTTGTGGGTGGTGAGACTTTGGTACATTTGCTCTTTCTACACTTTGTTAGAGTTTGTGCTGCATCACTATTTTTCAGTACCCTGGTTTGCGTCCTCAGTTTCTTCCCACTTTCCTCAGAGCACTCCGAAGACTGACTCGATGGAGACACGGAGCTTGGCTGTGACTTGTTAAGAACCTTCCCGCTTCTCTTGCTGTACACTCCTTTACCCTTGTTCTTTCTCTTACTGGAAAACCCCTCATCTGATAACTGTTGCTGTAATCTAACAGTGGGGGATTCAGGGGATGCTATAACAGTCTGCCTGCGCCTTCTATCTGAAGGCCTCTTGGTGTCATGTCTCTGTTTTTTTGACCTCTGTGTTGACGCCTTTTCAGGCTCTTTTTGCTTTTGAGCGACAGTGTCCACACACAACATTCTTTCCACAGCTGGACACCTTTTACTGGATCTTGTTCTGCCAGACCACTCTTCAGGACTGCTAGTTGTCTCCACAGGAGGTTCAGGTGGATTAGAGGGCTTCTCTTCACGATTAACCTTGGCTCGGTTGTATTTGCGGAGTGGAGCCTTCACCCTCCTCAGTGGCACTGACGCGTCTTCTTCGCTGGCTGTTTCACTTTGCTTTTGTCCTGGAAACACAGGACAGTTAGTCTACATGCAACTCATGACTTAATTTACAGCACCTCAGTTATCTATACCTTCACTGCAGGGCAGGAACACACAGGCAGGTTTCTGTGACTTCCTCGCAGACACTGTAGTAGTGACCTGTTGACATTGACCATGAATATCATTAATTTGTATAAACTCATAACAACTGGCCCTCACAGAAAAAAAAAACAAAAAAACATTTACATGCTGGATTATATGAGCACAACTTTAGGTGCTTACAGGGATGCATATGGAGGTATCATAACATTCATGGATGGTAACATTCATGTGTGCATCCAGAATGACTCTTCCTCCTTTCCAATACTCCAGAGGTGGCTTGATCACCCGACCACTTCGAGACACTTTTGTAGAAGAGGAGAAAGCAGGAGGACAGGAATCGGCTAGAGAAGAAAATAAATGTAAATGGGAATAAAAATTAATTCAGTGCAGTTGACTGGATTAACAAAAACTGGGAACAAAAATAGTGTTTTCTACAAAGCTCTCAACCCAGTGAATGAGGCAGAAGGCCACAAGCCTATTTAGTCTATTGTATCTTGTGCGTATGAAGTCCTGTTGTCCTTGAATGTTCTTAGTTGCAAGAGTGTTTCTCTTGTTCTTACGTGTCTTGAAAGGCCTCTGCCGCTTCACAGCACAGTTGATGGCGGATGCCTCAGATTTTGTCTTGGTTATGGTGGCTCTCCCCTCACTGGTCCTCTCCATTTCTCTGCTGGGGTTGTTACAGAAAAACAAAATACAGCTACTGAAAACACATCATTTTAACAACTATTTGCAACATTTGTGACTGTGAGTATAATTTTCAACCACTTAGTTTCATTTCATGGTCATTTCATCTAAAAGGATTTAATATCCCTAGCAAAAAGAAACAAAACAATCATGTATCTGTAAAAGCACAGTTGCTGCCCCCTCTTTGCAGGTTGCCTTGAAGTGAAATAAATGTTCTTACTCTCTTGACTCTGACAGAAACTTCTCATAAAGCGCCTTCCAGTTTGGAGGGAAACCATTAACAAACTTCTTCAGAAACCAATTAGGAAACCCTGCAGGCAAAAAGGGAGAGAGGAAAGAAAAAGAATATTAACCCATGCAACATTTTAATTAAAATTTGCATAAATCTACATGCAAGTTTGCTTCATTTTTTTCTGCCAAAGTGAAACAGTCTCAGTGGAAAACTAATACCCATACAAATGACTTACCAGATTCAACACCCAAGTTCATCTTGCCAGCCAAGATGTAAATCCTGCCAGAAACAGTCTTCAGCACAGAATTAGAAACCCTGTCCACAATGATGTTACTGTTCCATGGTATGTTATCCTCGCTAAGTGGAAAAGACAAGTAAAACAGTGCTCAGAGTAAACCACACAAATCTTGTTAAAATAAACTTTGCATCATGTTATGTATGAAATAGATGAAATCACAATATCTCAAGAAATATGTACCTGTGGATTCCATCAATAAACAGGCCTTTATGATTTTTCCTCAAGAACCAGTTTTTGAGATGAATGACACTCTCCTGCCAAAGACGAAAACACAAGCCTGGTAAGACCAAAGTGTCCAAGAGAAGACAAACTATTGTTGATTTTCATTTCTCATATGATATAAAATGTGTCTGCAAAACCAGACCGTTGGGTCCCAACACAATTGATCAGCCATCTGATTTTTCATGTTCATTCAACAAAATACAGCCAGCCAGCCCCCCCAGTAATGTCACCCCTTTTATCAAATGTTTAAACTTAAGACGCATTTATCTATAAATTAGTCTCTACTCACATTTGGGAATTTTGTGCGCTGCGGCCATTTGTTACGCTTGAACACAGCCTGGTTTTTCTTCGGGATGGAGATCTGTGGGGAATTGAGCACAAGTGGGTCTTCGAGCAAAACTGGTTCTGGAGGGGCAGGAGGGATCAGGAAATCCTCAGAGGGATCTGATCGGGTGTCCGCTGACTCTACTCTTGAGCAGTTGAAAGGGACCACACTTTCAGAAACACTTCTAAAGACAACGTCCTCCATTTCAGCCATATTGTGAGGTGTGGAGAGAGCTGTGTCTCTGGACTGATGGAAATTACCTACTGAAAAGAATGAAAGCAAAGTCAAGCTATGCCTACATACAGAAGACAAACTTTTTCCTTTGGTCTTCATAATACACTCACCCCCATCAAAGAGTGTCCTTGTGCTGCTGCTGACTTCAAGATATCCATGCTGTTCCCTTTTACTTTCCCTCTCCTTCATGTATGCAAACATCTTGGCTGGAGACATCTGATATTTTTCCATCCTAACAAAGCAACCTGTTCAAAACAGCAAACCATAAAACATCAAAGAGGAATCAGTCAAGTTTTTCCCATAACACATGATGACACAAGAAAAAGAGTTTCACTTGGAACAAAGCAGCAGTCATATCTCACGTTTCTCTATGATGGATCTTGGTGGTGGGGACACAGGTTCATGAGTCACCTGGTTCATCTCTGATTGGTCAGCAGGGAACTCTCTAATATCACCCAAATCCTCAAGGCACGTATTGTCATGGGTACTATGCTCACTGAAAGCAGTGGAGGTTTTCCTTACTTGTGGCTGACTTATACCTTCATTGTTGACCTCCCTTGTAGTGCTGCTGACTTTGTTTAGCTCCTGCTGCTCCCACTTTCTCTTTCTCACCCTCGTCTTCATGGGGGAAAACGTTTTGGCTGGAGACATCAGCTTGTCCAGAGGAGCATGATCCTCCTCAAACACGCCCTTTACACGGTCATTTTCTGTGGCTGTCTTTACTGGAGTCCTGCTGGTCACCTGGAAACCACCCAAGTCTCTGATCTGAGGTTGTGTTATGTGGATCCGTTCTCTGTTGACCAGAGACAGGGGACGGGACACCGCTGTTGACTCCAGGAGTGCTCTCTTTGTTGGTGTGTGTCCGTTTCTTGACATAAAAGCATTTCCCATTTCAACAGGCATGTCTTCCACATGCTTGCTGCTATTGTCAGCAAATGAGTACCTGAAGGTTTTCTGAGGAGTCGATATGGGCGAGAGGGTCAAAGCCTCCACTTCATTGCGATAAGAACCTATCCTTTGATTTTCCTTGAGCTCAGTGGTTATCATGAAGCTCTCCGCTCCCTTCCTCGGCGAGTTAAAATCTGCTCCGTGTCTCTTGCTTACGTTACACAGCGGATCCTTCGCGCATATCGCTTCTCTCTGTACTTTGGATTTCAGCTTCGCAAATATCTTGGCAGGAGATTCAGACCGAGGTTTGGTATGTTGTAATAAATGATGATAGGACGCCATGACTTTGGGGGAAATGAGTTAACAGACGACGAGACGTACGCTAGCAGTTCGTCCGCTAGCCCGCAAATTTCAAATTTCTCATCACTGCCGCTTTTGGCTAGAATCCTGTGACGTATTTCCAAAACAAATACGTCATTTCCGTTGATGTAGTGCGCAGAATTTAGGATTTTATTTATTTATTTAAAAGATTAAAATTTATTATTTTTATTTCGGATATGCTGAATTTTTTTATGTACACTTTGGAGATCTTATTCAAAATCTATTGATATTTATGTAAAATGCATCAGTCGAGGAGAGACGGCAGCTACAATGAAACACGGCCTTATATTTCTCATCTCCGAAACCGATTAAGACATTTTATTAATATATATTTAGCTTCCTATCACTCTTTTAACAATAGATAATAAGATATTGGCCTACTATGAAAACCGATTAAGGAAATGGCTAGACTCACATCTGAAACTCAGACAGACAGTACAGACAATATAAGATTTTGTTTTTGGACTTTTATAAGACTGACACAATCGAGCACCAAGTTCTTTTATGGTACCTTTGCATTTGGTTTTGTAAAAAAAGTCAATATTGTAACTATGTTTTATAAGTGTGAAATGTCCTGCAGAGGGCAGTAAAACACCAAGTACCGTCTAAATAGACAAAAAGAAGAAGAAGACGCGCACTACGCAGGTCCGGAACTGGATTATTGCTAAATTAACTGTGTGACTGACTTTCTGACAGTGGCGGAGAACCGAAGGGCTCAAAGGAAGTATTTGTGTTTATTTTTGTTAGTGTTTTTTACAGGAACAGGGACGATTATTACGATTAGTACAAACCGGAACATTCGCGCTGTAAATATATTTGGATTTAAGTGTTGTTTGGTTGTCTGAAAACTCCTGAGACGGTGTGACTGAGGTGATGCAACATGGCAGCAGCTGCTGTCAATCGGTGTTTTCTGTCAGCACTAAGGACACACAGTCGGTGTCAAAGCCGCGGACTTAACTCTCTGGCGGAGAGGACAGTCAGCTGGGTGTCCTCTGTTGTTATGTGTAAGCACGGGGCAGCGGAGGGGGACACAAGCCTGGACAGGAGAGCTCCTGCTTGGGACAGGAGAAGTGGTCGTAACAACAACAGCAGGTCTCCTCTGCTCAGGACAGTATCGGTGGGTCTGGGTCTGTGTGGCGCAGCGCTACTGGATAGCCAAAGAGACAAAAAAGAAAACGACAGACGAGTCTCTGTGGTCGGACGGTTTCTTGAACACATCCTGCCATTAGCTCAGTGTGCTTCCCCTTTTAAACCTGACAGCCCCCGATATAAATACAACTTTATTGCAGATGTGGTGGAGAAGTCCACCCCAGCTGTCGTGTACATTGAAATCGTGGGCAGGTAAGTTGGCTGAAAAGCAGGTATTTGAAATTGTTAAAATGTCAATAAACCAAATGTTACTCTATACAGTTGTTTTTAAGGTAAAAAAAAAAAAACTCACCACAAATTAAACAAATAAAGGAAAAAATAACTGTTGCTTGTTTTATGTTTCATATATTTAGATTAAATGCTTTGAATTTTTCAGTTTAGGCTCTAAAAAATCATGAGCTGTGAGGAATTTCAGCTATATTTACCACTGCAGATGTTTTATTTATTTATTTATTTTTTTAAACATACTTCATATAACACCTTATTTTGTGTAGTGTTACACAGATACAGAGACACCCACAAGCATTTGATGAAGTCATCTTGGGATCTAGTATATTGTAATGGGCATTATTCACTGTTTTATAATGTATAACACCAGATTCTGACACATTGAAATGTCTGTTTCTTAAGAAAATGTGCCCCACATTTTCTTAACACTTGATGTTAAGAATGTGATACAATATGGTAAAAACATTCAAAACGTAACTGAAATTCTTTGTAACGACACAAAATCTGTCTAGAAAGAGTGAAAATAATTATTATCTTGGCAACAGGTCAAGTTATTAATTTACCAAAAAACATAACAAAGGTCCATCCTAAATTGCAGAACTCTGAAATTTCTTTTACTTATTATTCGCAATAACCGAAAAATCCAAAGCATTTAATTTAATGATGTTAAACAGAAAAAAATCACCTGCTTTTTCTGTTTTACAGACACCCATTTTCAGGAAGAGAAGTCCCAGTGTCCAATGGCTCTGGTTTCATTATCAGCAGTGATGGTCTCATTGTCACCAATGCACATGTTGTGGCCAACAAGAGAGGTGTCCGTGTGAAGCTCACCAATGGAGACATGTACCATGCCACTGTGCAGGATGTTGATCAAGTGGCAGACATTGCCACCATCAAGATCACTGCAAACGTGAGCAATAAGTTGCAAAGATATCTACTGAATGGACTAAATGTTCAGTTTTTATTTTACTGGACCCTCATTAGCTTCCATTATAGTGGCTGATAAGGGCTCCACACTATAACACACAGTCCCTTACGAAAGAGACAGTACCTGACAAATCAGAAAATGAAAACAAAAGATGAAAAAAAACTAAGGCCACATAAAGGCTTCGATGTGAATATGAAACTATGTCAACTTGGTTGACAACTAAAAAAGATTCAAAATTCAGGAATAAGCAGGACAAGAAAAATAACCTAAAATACAGTCAATGCTGGCAACATTATGACTATCATGAGAAAACATTCAAACTTCATTCTGGTGCTTGTGCTTTTGGCTTGTTCTAGTTCTTATTAGAATAACAAGGCTGTGACTGATGTAGTTCTCTACAACTGAAACAGCAATATATCAAAAGCTCATGAATAGTCTTCATATTGTCTCATCGGTAAAGAGTTCAACAAAGGACTTCTTTATTTAGAGGTCATTTTGTTGCTGGTCATTTTTTCTAATCTGAGAAATAAAGAGATCTTTATTGTAGAGCGGGGCACTTATAATTATGTATTTTTAGCAGGGAAAAAAAATAGAACATGAGTAGAAATTGGAAGCTCATTTCCTTGGATTGTATGAATGTCCCACTGTTGAACTTCTTTCCTCTCCCCTGACACGTAGAATCCTTTACCCACGCTGACCCTAGGTCGGTCGTCTGACGTCCGACAAGGGGAGTTTGTGGTCGCCATGGGAAGCCCCTTTGCTTTGCGCAATACGATCACGTCAGGGATCGTCAGCTCAGTACAGAGAGGCAGTAAGGAGCTGGGCCTGTCCAACTCCAACATGGAGTACATACAGACAGATGCAACCATTGATGTGAGTATTAAGGATATAAATGTATTTGTTATTTTTGTGACAATGTGTATCTTTCAGTTTATGTATTACCTATTTTAATAAGTAGGAACATTTGTAAATGTTAGGAAAGAAGTGTAGTGATGAATCAGGAAAAAATTAGCCTGCAGAGCAGATTTCCTGTGACTTGTTCTCATATTATGCCCCTTTACGTCATACGTGATGTGATTTGTTTTGCAGTTTGGAAATTCTGGAGGTCCCCTAATTAACTTGGTGAGTCACATGTCCTGTTTACATGTTAATCATCACATTCATGTCTGCAAACCTGTTCTGACTGCTCTGGTGTGTGACTTTTGAACAGATGTGATCTGATCTCATACTTCACCTTATCTGAATGTGCTTTCTCTCCCTAAATTAGGATGGTGAAGTCATTGGTATAAACACCATGAAGGTCACTGCAGGGATCTCCTTTGCTATTCCATCTGATCACCTGAGAGCCTTTCTTGATCGATCAGCAAAAAAAAAGAGTAAGAACGCACAAAAAATCTAAAGCTACATGTCACACCCACTTTCTGTCTTCCATATTCTCCGTAGCCTGATTGTTGTTTGTGTCCATCTTCTCCAAGGTTCCTGGTTTCGTGAGTCAGAGACAAAGCGGCGATACATCGGCGTAATGATGCTGACACTGACACCAAGGTAAATGCTTCAAAATCAGAAATGCCTACAGTAAGACTGAACACACAGTGTAGTTACATCAGTGTTGCAGCACTGTGTTTGAAACCAGATGTTTCTGTTTTGTGCCTCTTACCTCAGCATCATTGCGGAGTTGAAGTTAAGAGACCCATCCTTCCCAGATGTGACACATGGCATCCTGATTCACAGAGTCATCATGGGCTCCCCGGCCAACAGGTAAGACTACCAAGCTGCTGTGGATAAGAATGAGTGGTAAAAGATGCTTCTTGCTTTTGAAGTTGAATGTCATGTCGTATGTTTAATAGTGTTGAGGTGCAATGGATACAGTAAAGAGCATCCCCATATTAATAAAAACCTGAAACGTACCCTAACAGGCGAGGATAACAGTGCTTTTCAAGTCCAATGTTTGACATGAGAACAATATTGGAAATGTATGAACTGCCATTAACCCACAGTGCTGTCACACTTGTTTCAGAGCTGGCATGCTGCAGGGAGACGTCGTGGTGGAGATAAATGGGGTGAAGGTGAACACTTCAGAGGAGATCTACCAGGCTGTTCGCAGCAGCGACAAAATCACCATGGTGGTGCAGAGAGGGAACGAGTTGCTACAACTGCAAATGACTCCTGAGTACACAGAGTGACACTGATTTCATTTTGTAACCACTTGTTGACCTGATTGGCAGCCTGCCACGATTAGTTTATGTAAGAGAAGAAAACTGTGAATGCCAATAATGACAATACATTTTTGTTGTTACTGCAGAGGAAATCACAGCAGTGAGACAGCAGTGTTCGAGTAAAACAATAGGTGTTTGTAGCCATATTTATCAGCTCACGTGTTGCCTGTCTTCTCTACATGTCTGATGGATCTTAACTACACAATGATTTATGTCATTTCTACAATGCAAACAGTTTGAAGCATTATGAACCTGCCAGCAACTAAACACTTCAGTATTTATTCCCAGGTTTTTCTGAGTACAATAAACAATGTGTTTTGTACCTCAACAAAGCATTTCATCAATTCTTACTGGAAAGAGTAAGAAAACTAGTCAGTGTCATTTAAAGATTTGAGTTTGTATGGTCCAAAATCCAGTATTTGTAAACTAAGTTCATGAGACCTGAAACAATGCACTTTATTAAAGCCATTTAATGTTAGACAGATACAGGAAGCATGAGAGACCCAACAATGTGGCATGGAGAGATGGTGATAAACCGACTACCATTAACAGAGCAAACAAGTTTGACAACTCACGAATGCTGCTATGATGACGATGATTACACAAGTAAAATCTGAATGGTTGAGATCCACTTATTTAGACAGACAGTTTTGTATGTCACGCACAGTAAAAACCAAAAACATGAATTCATTTCATGTTAAGAGCAAAACACCAGTTGTCCATGATGAGAAGCAAACAAAAAGTGAAGAGATTACTCTCAGATTTTGAGAGTACAGGTCAAAGCTGTGAAGCCATACTGAGTAGATTAAAATTTCCCTGGTATATGTACAGTAACACACACTTACAGTAAAGTAATAAAGTGACATGTACTGGACTGCTACACAATTAAATGTATTTACCTCAAAGACTGATAGCTATTAAATGGAGATAACATTCAAACAACTTTAGGTTTAAACAATATTTTCATACTTCTGGACTAGAGACATCTTGTTAAGTACGAGTACTACAACATACAAGTATGGGAGGAAAAATAAAATTGTTCAAATCCCATCAAAACTACTTTTAAAAAGGCTTAATATATATTGCTGGTAATATTTTTCTTTTTAAGAAAATATAAATTGTGCGACTGAAGCTTACAATACACTGCTGGCAGTAGCGCCAGGTTCTGTGGTGACCTGCTGGAGAAGGGTCATCTGTCGAGGCGCTGTGTGCTGAGAGACTCCCCGGAAAAGAGAGAGAGAGAGAGAGAGAGAAAAAAAAAAAAAAGACATTTGGACATCTCATGATGCCTGAATCCCTTGCACCAAAACTCAGATGCTGCTATGGTGTTTGTCACGGTGGAATGCTGCAGATATCACATGATGTGCACAAACAGCAGCCAAACTATAATCAAACTCATACAGATACATAAATAAGGGGTGGTGGGGTGGGGGGGCTTGGAGAGGGAGTGACAATGTGGGGGAGAAATTGTAGTGTCCAGTCTAGTCCAGCAGTGAGCAGGCTAAGCATTGACTCAGTTGACGTGGTCCAGTGCGCGCAGCAGCTCCTCCCCCTGCAGCAGGTACTGACGGCCTTGCAAGGGGGCGTTGACCTCGCAGTCGTAGCGGGTGAGCTGTGGCAGGGTAAAGAGAGTATTGGTGCCCTCTGATGTGCTGCCCAGCAGTCGACTTGCCAAATCTGAGCAACAGAAAGAAAGATACAGAGTTATGATTCTTCTGATGATTAGTGTCAGGCAACAGTCTAGTCTAGATCTAGTTTATTCACCTGAAGGCAGCAGAAGTATGGTCCTGGTTGTTCCTGACTCAGAGGCCTTCAGCTTTTTGCCCTGCTCCACTTGTTCCTCAGGCAAACTTCCCTGCAATGATCAATTACAGATTTTCAAACTCTCCATCTATGAATATAAAGTTCCCTCTATGTACCATGTTTGGATATTAAGGACTTACCTGTCCAATAATCTCCTTTAAGTCACCCAGTTTTCTTTTGCGCTGTGCGTTCTGAGCTGCCAAGGTCCTGAGTGAAACTTCTTTGTCCAACTGTGGTGTCCTGCAGCACAGCGATACTGATACTTACTAACCCAAAATAGTAATATGATTAATTAATAATTATAGTGCATTTTGGAGACTTTACCTCTTAGCAAGGATGGTGGCAAGATGAGGGGCGTTTACAGGCTCAGGTGGTGCCGGGGAAGCTGTGCGACTGCCTGGTGTGCTGAATGGGGAGCTGGGATAGCTGCTGACATCTTGTGTGACATGGACTGGAGAGCTTTTGAGGGATTTGACTGGTCCACAAGACAGAGGCTCTTCTTGGGTCAGACTGCGCAGCTGGAAGTCATCGTCCATGGGAATGTAGGGAGCTAACATTTCCAGATCTAAGTCCTCCATTGCCTTAAAGGGAGAAAAAGGTCTTATTAATCCAGATAGGGTACTTTTTACTGTTAGACTAACTGTGAACTTGATTTAAACAAAGTAAAATCTACAGTATCTCCTGGCATTATTACCTGTGTGGTGAAGGGGGTCTTGGGCTCCGTATCGATGGCAAACAGCTTCTCCACCAAGTCTAGCTTGAAGTCTGCGCTCATATCTGAGTCCATGGGGAAACAAAAGTCCAATGGACTGTCAGCCTAAAAATGAGAGGTCAAAGGTCATTACCATCCTGATACATATTGGCGAGTCAATAGTCCAATCTGCAAAATGACAATTCACTCAGTCTTACCTCTGAGGAGCTGTGGCTGGTCGATATAGTGGACGGAGCTGGAGCATAGCTCTCAGATTTTGCATCCTCAGAGGTGGTGGTGGTGGTGGTGGTGGTGATGGTGACATGGAGAGGCTCGCTGGTCGGCAGCGGTGAAAGGGGCAGAGCCAGCCTCTCACTGGAGGAGGGTAGCATTACATCATTATAGAGAGGGACCTCCTTTGGTAGCTGGATTTCTGAATCTGTACCAGAGGACAGAAGCAAGTTAGAATAATTTAATTTACTGTTTAACATATAAACACTTGATTTATGTTGTAGAGATGTTTAAGTATCTATAATAGGGTCACAAACCAGGGCAGCTGAAGTCCAGGGAAATGATTGTGTCTCCGGCGGCCGGGGCCAGCAGGGTGAGGGCCTCAGGCTCTTCTTTCAGCTGGTCATACAGGCTAGCCAGCGGCCGGGCCTCTCCCGCCTGGGTGAACAGTTTGATCACATCCAGCTCTGGAGTCTTCTCCTCCTCCTCCTTCAGCAAGGTTGGAGACATGTCAGGCACGCTGTTCTGAACTGCAGCTTTCTCTTCTTCCTCCTCCTCCTCCTCCTCCTTTTCCTCTTCCTCCTGCTGCTGCATCTGCTGCTGCTGCTGCTGCTGCTGCTGCTCCTTCTATGGCTTCACATCCTCAGTCTGCTCCAGAGACAAGATCAGTTTCTCCTCCTGGATGCCGCTGTAGCAGAGGACAAAGACATGGCAGAGTTAAGCAGCCGTAAGACTGAGTTTACTGAAGATTTTGCAATGGCTCCGTGAGAACTGGGATTACAAACAAGCCACTTCATCACTTCAAACTATAATTTTCTATATAATTATACAGGCCCTTAGCGGGCTCTTTAACTTGAGAAGAACAAAACAAACAGGTTAATACATGACAGTCTCTTCTAAAAACAAAAAAATTTACTCTTTAGTACCTGAGCACAAAGTTGACACAGACAACACACTGTGGCTGGGAGTTCTTGTTGTTATAGATGACAGTGGCTTGGGTTTCCACCCACACAAAGCCTCCTCTCTTGGCCAACATCCGGTACTGTCCTGTGCTGACCTGGCCCTTTGCGAACACTGAAAGCAAAAAGGAAAGCAAGGGGGGAAATTAGAAGATTGATTTTGGGCATTTAGTTAAAAGTTTGGCAAATATAACAGCTGGAGCTTGTTCAAAATGTCAGAGACAGTCCAAGTTGCAATTTAAGTCTTATGCTTACAGTTATGGTGAGTCTTGGTAAGATGGTCAGAGTCCAGAGCGTGATAGTACTCATACACAGAACGATTCAACAGGTCCTCTGGCTCATAACCCATGAGCTCAGTGATCCTGGAGAAGGACAAAAAGATTAATTCTTCCACTGACTAACTAAAGCTTCTGTAGTATCCACAATGAGCACTAGGTGGCTCTGTATGACTGTGTGGGTGAAAACCTTGGTAATAATAGAAAAGCACTACACAAGTGGCTTAAGAAGCTGAACCATGTTTTTATCCATGATAAGCTTCTTAAGCATATAATATCCACTCCAATGAGCAAACTCACCTCTCGTCACAATACGTGAACTTCATGTCCATTGTGTGGCGGCTGAGAAAGGTCTTGGTGTCCAGAGGGACCTCAATGTTGGAGGGGTGTGGGATGGGGTCACAGATCAAAACCAGGTAGGGGACAGGTGGCTCCTTGTGCCCGTTGGTAGTCTGCTCAGTGTGGGTGTCATAAACACGCACGTGACCTGAGCAGTGGAGAACCTAGGGAGATAACACAAGGGTCACAACACATTTATTGTGATTTCCAGACTCCAAGGATACTAAATAGTTTCCTAATGCATTAGAGTAAATAAGTGCATTTATCTAAAAACTAAAAAGGTTACTTCTGATACATTGCTGAGAGTATATTTCCTCAATGATTACAGTAGGCCGTACCTTCCAAGTTGCTGACTTGACATTGACAGTTCGGCCCCTGCTTGTCAGAGTACATTTCATTCGGAGGAAGAAGCTGCGCTCTGTGTTTGGTTCCTTGGTCTTTTTGGAGCCTGAAACAACACCAGGAGTCAGAGTCACAGTTTCAAAAAGGGAAACAGCATCTGTATGGTGAGAGGCATAAGTGTGTTGAAATGACAATAGAGCCATTAGAATTTACAATTGCCTGAATTTTTTTTTTCTTTTTTTTTTCAGTGTTGTATTATAAAATTTTCATTTTCAAACATTTTATATTTGCATTCAGACAAGACATTAGGCAATAAAGCTTTTGCACTGTCGTGAGCTACAGCAAGTTAAATAAAGGAAGTGGAGTTAGCAGCCGTTATAGCTAAGATAATATCACTTTGCACTCGCAATACCAAGCAGAAATGCAGTGTGCCCTCAAATGACCATCTATTGATATAGAATTATGTTATGAAGTACACTTCAGAGGAAAGCTTACTAATGTTTAGCTATACTAATGTCACTTAAAAATCCTGCACAAACTTTTACCAACTGGAAATAGAAAGAAAAAGTAAACTAATTCTATCCACTGACACAAGACAAGGCTAAACTGTGTAGTGCAAGCAGGAAATGTGCCAGTGATGTAGTGTACTGTTCCAGTAATGCTGAATGAAAGGTCACTGAAGTACACACTAGCCAACTCTAATCACTTTGACCTCAGGACTGAAGAGGGAAAATGATAACTGCTTCTGACAGATTCCTAGTCTGAACTTGCCAGCTCAGAGTGAATTGGATTCCCTGCTGATGAGCCCATGTGTATGTCTGTCCCTCTCCATTATAGTGGTCTGTTGTTGTCCCTCACCTGTTCTGTGGACCAACATCTCCCTCAGCTCCTCCTGGTCACAGGGATGTGTGAAATCAAACACGCTGTGTCCAGTCAGGTCAAACTGCAGCAGACAGAGTGAGAACAGAATCTAAGTCCTCTTACCACATATGTGTACATGCAGCTGTTTGTCCATATTGTCCACAGTAGACATTGTGGTGACTTCTTCTAATCTTTTTCAATAAAAGGCTTCATGTGCATGTGGACTGTTTATTGAGCAGTATCTCTAAAAATTTAACAATAACATTTTTGTTGTATAACATTGGAAGTACAATCATGTTTTTTGGCTGAAAAGTTTCTACTTCTGACTCTGTTTCCCACCAGTCTTTATGCTGACAAAACGCAGGTTAAATAAGACTAACCTGTGCCAGCCCGAGGCACTTGTTGACATTCTCAGAGAGATAGATTATATCTCCGTCCTCAGACAGCACCATGAGAAAGCCTTCCAAGGCCTTAAGGTAGGAGCTGTTTAGCTGGATATCCAGCTCTGTTTCCTCCTCTGCCATTGGGTCATCTGGAGGAGATAACAGAGGGGGGAGGAAGGGGGGTGAGAGCGATAAAGGAAAGTAGACAAAGAAAAGAAAAGCATGAGGAAACCAGGCTCAGGTCATCATCAGAAGCCTCTGTTGTCTAAGGAACGTGTTTGCTGGGCAAGACAACGCGACACAGAAATCCCCCGCCCCCTAAAGTATATCTGCAAATGGATCTCTGTCTGTGTGTGTGAACAACTGTTTATCACTGTTTCCTTCCTCTGCATCTCAGACTGTGCCCACTATTTATCTCACTCTCTTCAGGGTGTCCTTTCTTTTCTCCAGCAATGCTTTAAATCATTTAAATGTGATGGCATCCTACTACAAGTAAGTCTAATGAAAATTCAAAATATTGCCTCTTTATTGAATTAATTTTCAAGCTGCCTCTAAAATTACAATGACAATAGCTGCAAAACTCAACTATCATTAGGACTTCACTTAAAAAATATAGATGTGTCCCATGCTACACTGTACATCATCTGGTACAACTACAGATACTGACCAGTGCTGAGCAGCTTCCTCATGCGCAGGTAGCTGATGGTGAGCCTCATGATGGAGGCCTTATCCAGGCTGGAGCTGACACTGTGGGGCAGGGGCAGCTGCTGGGCCAGCTCGTAGAACACTTCCGACTCCTTCCCACGCCGACATCGCGCTGCATCCCTGGACTTCTCCTTCCTCCGCTCCGAGCTCACTCTGCGGGAGACAGGTGGTGGGTCAAAGACAGACTTGTGACAAATTGGGTCTGATTGCACTGTGTGCACTCCAAGAGCTGACATCCCTCCTTCCTGACTTGAGTTTGTGCACAGAGTCTGGTCAGCCTCTGGCCTGTCACTGGTGGGGGAAGGCTGCAGCAGCTCGAGTCCGCAACGAGCGAGCTCACAGCCAAGCCACCGTCTGGACCCCCATCAGACTAATTTACATACATGGCTATCTGACTGAGACCATCTTATTGGCCACTGACCAAATGAAATGGAGTCCACCCCCTTAGAATGATTGGCTGGGAGGACGGGAATGGATTCTCTTGTCTGTCTGTTGGTGCACAGCCAAGCTACAGTGTGACACCAATCATTATGACATTTACGAGCCTGGCTCAACGGATCTACAGGGAGGAGAATCATAATACTAGCACTAACACAGAGAGCGCACATAAACACAGAGTAAGCAACAACTGCAACTACAAGGACAAAGAAATTGTCAGATTTTCTATCATGTTGCATCAGCAGCCCTCATAACTGCTCACTGCTTGTACTTGCTCCATTTCAGATCCTGCATTTACCCAGGCAGTTATCCAAAGTCTGGCTAATGGACTATCACCACACTGTAAACAAGAGCTTAACAAGAGCTGTCAGTATTAAAATGACAAAGGACAGCAGACTTTAAAGGAGAAAATAACTTGTGCAAATCACTTTTAAAACTATGCTCTTGATTTTATTGATTTCTCACAATGGCTTTTAAACTAAGCACTGATTTGACTTTTTATTTGTATTGGTAACCACGTCATAACCTCAAATGTATTTTAGAAGACACTGGAGCAGCATCACAACAAAATAGACTGTACTTCAAAAGCCCCTGGCTTTGAACTGTACACCTAATTGAAATTGATCTGTTATGGACTTACAGCATTGACCAAGGCCATATTGTTATTTGAGGCTCTCTAACAAGAAAATGTACCATCCAACTAAAATTAGCGTAAAGTGCATCAAATCACCTGGCAGGGTTGCAGGAACACTTACAATACAGCTGATGTGCAATACCCTCTACAAATCACATTACTTGTTCTCTGGGGTAAAAAGATACAACACAAGGCCGAGCATAGCATGGCAATGATCTAAGCCTGAGAAAAACATCTGAGTCTGATGAGGGTTTTATGTGCAGAAAATTGCTCAGGTCCTTACCACTGCACTTGCACTGCAGTTGCACTTAGTACAAACAGAAAACCACCTTTCAAAACTAGATATATAAACCTAAATAAGTAAAAAACAAATGCAAAAGTCCAAATCACTCAACACATATTGGATGATAAGTCAACCACAATTCTATGGAATATCTTTCCTTGGTCATCTAATCCCCATTTTATGACAACGTGTAAACAAGAAATTTGGATGGTGCATATACCAGAAATCCTCCTCTCAAAAATATGAACTGTAATATAAACATGTTCCAACCTAGACTCTAATTACAGCTACAACTAGAAGCGTATACATTCAATCACATGTTTGCACATTTGTAAAAACATTGACAAATGTTTACAATATCTTCTGTTGCCGGCATGTAACATAGCCAGAATGTCTGGACATCATAAAGGGTAACTGCAGGGTTATGCAATCTGTTCTGTATTGTATCAACATGTTTCTTCATTTTCAACTCTTCGTTTTGGTCCAATATCAACAGAACATTCACCCCCAACTTACATTCATGTAAATGGGTTAATTTATCATCACAGGCTTAAGTTATAACAAATGATTAACAAGACATTGTGCACAAGTCACACACTGGGAAAGTCATCTTGCTAAGCTACTGGCTAAACCTCTGATGATCTAATGACAGATAAACTCCACACATTGTTACTAACTGTAGTCCCATCACAGGGCTAGATGACCGATTAGTACTAGCCTGTAAACAAATTGTTTTCCTCTGTAGTAGCTGCTCCCCGTTGTATCACACGCCTTTATACAAATCCATTATCCAAATACATGACCACTGAACACAGCGAGACAACATAGAGGACATTTCACTAAGCCTAAAGTTATTGTGACAAACACCAGTGTTTGAGTCACTGTACACAGCTCTATAAACATCTGTAATACCAAAGATTCATAAGAGAAGTAATAAACGCATCTAAACCTATAGATCATAAAGGATAGCAGATAGTGTTGAAAGCATAACCTCTTTTTACAGTGTCCAATTTTAGAACTACAGCCCTGTGACACAATTTTGTAATACAAGCATTTCCTTTTATACTCCTATGTCCTATTCAGTATTGTGATACTTGATTATAAAAAGTAAAACTGCTGACATTTGATGACACACCTCCACTGCCTCCTCAAAATTACAAAAGGAGAAAACACAGCTTTTCCTCCTGACATGAAACATGCAATGAAAACAAAATGCTTCTCTTAATGTTAAAACAAAGCAAGCAGAGAGGCCACCGTTACATAACACTATTTATGCACATGGTCATGCATGCCCAGCAGTCCTCTGCTTGACATGCCTCACAACACAATCACATTTGCAGTTTTGCTCTGTTTAATTAGACTTGCTTTGTTTTCTAATAAGAATGAGTGTATTATATAATGATGCATATTAAGGTAAACAAAATTTATTTGAGTTGTTACCAGATGTGGACAAGTGATCTGAAGATTAATGAAGAAAAAAAACTGTTTACATTGATAATCAGCCTGGCCAATTTTACCCGAGTTGCTTGTGTATTTTGTTACTGGGGGTTGACCTGTTTCACTAGAGAAATGTTCTCACTATCTGTCAGTACTGTTTAGTTTGACAGTAAACATTGCCTTATCTATTATATAATCCGGAGGGAAAACCACAACTAAAATCTTTACCCAATATGGGAGGAAAAGCAAAGCAAGACTGAAAATAAATCAATTTCCCAGTAAAATCAACCCTGGGCATTATAATCAGCCACTCGAGGACATATTTGAAAACAGCTTGGCAGGGGTTGATTGTAATGGTTCATTGGCACTGATGTTAGATACTTTCCTCTGTTCAGAAACTCAGTAACTAATTGATCATCTAAATATATAAAATACAGACGGGAAACCTTTACTTACAGTATTAATATACCCATTTTTATTTATCTATTTTCTTTGATGAAGACCTGTATAGTTTTTGTTTGACTCTGCCGGGTTTTCATTACATAAAGCTATACAAACTCTGTTCAAATGGTACTGTGACAACACATTAGCTAGTTCCATTCACTGTTGAAGATGGTTAAAATTCAAAAAATGCCCAAAAGGAAAAAAATAAAACAAACCCATTGTTGTTCCTGAGATTTTCACCAGCAGTAGCTTTGTGCCTCACAAGAAGGTTAATTTGCTAGTATACAATAATAATAATTTACCGCTTCCAGTAGGGACTCTATCCTGTCCTTCTCCACTGGGAGGTGCAGTCCTGGCAAAAATCCTCAAGATTACAAATATTATAAACCATTTAAAAAACTTAATATAACTCAGATTACATCCTCCTGTGCAAAAGACTATTTCAGCTGATTACATTTAGCCCACAAACAGCCACAAAGTCCAACATATGTAATAGGTTACATTCTTCATAAAAAAGAGCCTCTCATTTGGGACTTGGGCTAGTCTGACTCAACCGATATGGATTGTACAAATCTGCCTCCAACTGATCAAGCATTTTACTTTCATCAGCTTCCTGTGCGTTGCCATTTACTTGCTTCATCTCTGATGTGCCTTCAGTGAAAAGGGGGTACTTTGGACTTTTTGAAAGACTGCCTTGGAAAAACTGACCTATACTTTGTATAGACACATGAGATTAATGTTGTTGATTCTTCTGCGTTAGACTAGAAATGCAATTTTGCAGGGAATTAGTTTACTGGAGCCTAAAAGGCATTTAAGCCTTTTTGTGAAAAAGGAAAGATAGATGCCTGAGAGACTGGTACACAACACTACGTTGATTTCTTGAGTCAACAGAAAATCTTTATAAAAAAAGTTTTTAAGTCTTTGAAATTTAACCATCTATACTGCTGACCTTGGGACTTTCAAAGCACACTCAATTAGTTTGCAGCTAAATGAAAGTTTCTCTGAATTTTAAAAACATATAAGCCTAATTTAAAAATTACTTTTCTGCTTCTATAGCGTCACTTTGCGACTTTTCTTTCCAGCCACACATCCAAATATGAATCCAAATTCAGGTGTGGACAGTGAATCCAATGCAAAGACAGTGAGAAAGTGCATAGTACTATAGTAGTAATTGTACAACTGATAAGCACTGGCGATTATATTCAACAAAATTCAGGATGTATGAAGGTATTGTTTTCACGCTTCCTTCCTTGCATTGTTTATGAGACACTGTCAAAGTCTTTTCGACTGTGGTGTATTTATTAATGAAGAAAGTGAAAATTTCAAGGTGTGTATATTTATATAGTTGTTATACAACTTCACATCCTAATGCACAACACAACCCTAGCAGGTACTTTATGGTATTGTGTCCTTCCGAGCATTGACCTACCAGTAAAGAGCATTCTTTCTCCATTATCGATCAGTTCTCACAATTATTGCTTAAGAAGCCTTAACTGCTCTGTATTCATAACTGTTAAATGCCTCTATTACTTTACATTTTTAAACACAGTAACATGCGAGCTTAACTAACTACAATAGTCACCCTTTATAAAACAGTGATTTAGCAGTCTAAGCCTTAAGGCTTCAGTGCACATTTTATTTCTTTATTCTTGTCTTCAATTACAAAACTTACATGAGAAAAATGTGGACACAAACAATACAAACCTATGCTCTGCACCAACAAGTAACCAAATTTACTTTTCAAGTTCTAACTAGACTGCACACAGGCAGCAAATTGTACTCGAATGTCTCAGGGCAACCTGCAAATTGTCAGCCAGTGAATTGCTACACACATTTGGCCACTCCTTTTGACGTCAAGCCTGAGTGATTAAGAGATGAGACAGAAATAATACCATGGCACCTCACAGAGACCTGCTGAAACTGCATCCAACCAGACCACAACTTTAAATTGTTTCTGAGATAGAATGAACACAGAATTACTGAAACTAAACAGGATGTTGACCTTTTACATGTACATACACAAAGTGTCTAATTAGAAGTTGGCAGAAAGTGAGTGAAGTGCAAGGCAGAAGGCAAATCCTTGAAAATGAAAAGAAGAAAACTACAGGCATTTTAACTGATGCACAACACCTTAATAAGATCTTAATAACAACAAATTTTAGCATGTAGAACTTAAATTCCATGGAACAAATTACACCTACATTGAGTTGAGTTTCAAACACTACTCCCATTACTAACGGATAAAACATTAGGTAAATTTCGGGGGATCTTCCAAATCTATTTCATCTTCATTTTACCATACCAGTTGGTTCCGAAATTGCACAGGAAAACCTTTATGTAAAGCGCATCTTTATACTATCCCAAGTTTCTGGTTAAGACAATAACACTCTTTTACAGCTTTTTCAGCTTTTTGTTGACTGCATATTATTCCACAGTGAAGCTTTCTACTGTTGTCGTTTGTGGAAGAATTTCATTGTTGCCATGCTACCCCCAGCTGAGGAATCCCTACATCCCCTGTCCACTTTTACCACTCTGCTGATCATCTGTTGTTACCTTTTATGACCTTGTTTATCTCAGGACTGACTGTTTATCAGGTGACTTTTTGGTCTGATACTGTTAATACTATCAGGAAGACCTTTTCCCTCCATTTGAATGAGAACAGTTAAGTGTATGCCCAAAGTGGAACCAGGGCTGATTTGAGGAAATAAAACAAGCTTTGCATGCAGAAGTCTGAGTATAAGCTCTTCACCCTCCACCATATTTTGTGCATCTATCAATGACCCAGGGGCCCAGATCAGTAATCTGCTGGATGCTCAGATAAATGATCGCTTCAATCAATAAATACTATTACTGTGTTTTCACTAAAGCTTGTCAGGGAATAGCAAGAAGGCCAACTAAATATTAAACTCAAAGTAAACTGTTGGACACGATTAATAGTTTTGGTCAATGACAACTACTTCCAATACAATCCAAACCAACAATAAGCTGAACAAAAAAAATCTATTTAATTTATGATGATGAATTAATTGTTGTACTTTATTGTTGTTTATATATCAAGCAAAAAGCCACTTTACAATACATTTTCTCAGTTTACTAGTTGAACATTTGAACAAACTGGCCATGTGAAATAACTGCTGTGGAATTTAAAGTAGTTTCAAATGCAGCTGTTTGTAATGTTCGACATAAGTTTACAAGATTTGTTAATTAGGATGATTACTTCTCTAATTAAACTAAACCATGAACCATTACCAGTCCAGAAAATTAAAAGAAATTCAAACCAAGGCCACTTTCACTGAATCCTAAATATTTCAACAGAAACCACACACCACAATCCAGCATTGCTCACGAGCGCTGGCAACTTTACACTGAAAACGGCCAATGTTGGCTCATCAATTCCCAAATAATACACCACCAGTGATGTATTATTAATAAGATAAATAAATTGTACATTCAGAACAGATGAAAATAACGTAGCATCCAGGACTCACAACACCGATTAAATACAATAACGTAGTAACGTACTGGTTGACGAGGTAAAATTGATTTAAAAGCAGATTTAATCAAGGTATACAGACAAATCAATCTAGCGAGACGCTACCTGCATCAACTAGCTCATTTTAGTAGCTTGCTAAATAAACAATTTAACACTGGGTTAGTTCAGCTAGCAGCTAGCTTATGTCAGCTAGCAACCTATGTTAGCTGCTTGCTAACAGCAATAGCGTCACCAGCACACGCATTTTGTCGAACAAACACGCTAAACTATCAAGTAACCTTGAATAAAGACCATAATGTCACAGCAGTAATAGTAATCAAATCACAAGAGATGACCAAAGTTGTGCAGCTAGTCCCTAAACAACAAGATAGCCTGCTACGTAGCATTAGCTAGCACTAATGTTACCTTTTCTTTTCGGGTACAATTCCTGTGTCCATGTCAGGACGAAAGGACCTGAGTTGAGTCTCTCTATCGGTATCAAGCTGTATCCGGGCCCGTCGAGAAATAAACCAAAATCCCACGGTTTGTCACTGGTATGGCTCCGTAAATCCTCAAGCGGGTTACATACGAGTTCTGACTGTGTATATTTATCAAAGAAGTCAAGCTTCTATCCACTAAAAACAGATCATTCGTCTCCTCTTCTTCAAAGACAGTGCCACGCTGGAGAGGGGTTACTTGCCGAGACAATGTTGCACCGTAGAGAATCTCCGGCTCCTCCCCCTGCTTCGCGGGGGCGCGCAATCACATGCTTTTCCTCCGTTGAGGACGCGCACAGGAAAACTGAGTATCCACCACCGAAATAACTGTAATTTTCGACTGAAGTGTGTTTAGGACATTCAACTGCAAGTCTACAACACAAAATGACTAAAATGCTATTTATATCTCTTTTAGTTTTAAAATAATACTCTATCACTATCATATTTCTTCAGTAGGCCAATCCTCCCCTACAGCCAACAGTAGGCCTACTGTAGTTCTAGGGTGTTTTGCTGATAAAGGCCTTGTTTTTTAAGTAAGACTGAATAATTAATTTAAATATTATCGAAATCGTTTTATGTCCAATGCAATATGCAAATCACAGAGGCTGCTTTTTTTTTTGATAAAAGTAAAATGTGTCACAAGATGGGGGGGGGGGGCAGAACTGTCGCTGCTGCCTTTTCACCATTGGTAGTCTTCAAATGCCAAATCAAAACATTTTACCAAAAAGATTTAATATTAAACACCTTAAACTGATTTATGCTGTTTGTTCCTGCCCTCCAATGGCCCATCTATGAAATAAACTCTGCCCTGACCCTTCCTGTTTCCAGTAAGTGAACCCCAGGGGCTCCAACACCCCAGATTCACATGTCAACTGGTTATTGGTGTTTTAATTGACTGCACATTTGTTAAGGAATTCAAACTGGGAAAGTACAATATAATCTAGGTCAGGCCCTGACTTGTAGAGGGGCCCTGTGCTTGTATGGTACATTTTCCAAAATAAAGTGGAATTGTGAATGAAAACATTTGCTTGTGTGTGAACTCCATACATTACGAAAAGAGAAAAGTGATGATCTTGGTTTATGTGACTTCACCTCATTGTACCAGACTGCCCATGTTTTCACAACATTTGAGCCAATGCTGCAAATTTGTATGCCATTGTACACAATGAGCTACAAATACAGAGTTTGAATATAATTGTTATTAGAAAGTAAGGAAGCTTAACATTCTTTAGCCAGATGTGTACACATGAGGGATTTCTGTTAGACTCCACCTCACATTCACTGGCTTGCAGATGGTTTTGGTAATTTTCCTGTACTGCTTTGGAGATTTCTGCCCAGTCAGTCCCCTCCCCTCACCACTGTTGGTCATATTTGGCAGTTCTTCATGCCACCTGGGATTCAGCTCTTACTTTTGAAAAGAAAATGGAAGGAAAACAATGTCCCAGTCACCTCAAAATCTTTCATATCATATTTCATTCCCTTACTTAGAACATTTTGGTTATTACATTTGGGAATGACAATCAGGCAGAGCTTTTGCTGTCACTTCCCAGAACTGTTGGCTGGGAGGGACAACACCTCAGTGTGAGTGGCTGCACTGCAAAGTTTGACTTGAGTTGAAAGAGTGTGGCTAAGAAAATCAATGAAAAGCGTATAATATACTGTACACTCAGTTTATTAGGAACATCTGGCTAAAGCTAATACAGTCTAATAGAACAGCCCTGCAATAAGTCCTTCATGATGGTTAGACTGTTCAGTTTTTACTGAAATTGCTTAAGAGAGGTTTTGATTCAACTTTATGGTAATTTTGGTGGCTGCAATTGTCATGCTGTTGGATTGTATTGCTTTGTATTGTGCATCTACTAAAACGCCTCACTGCATAATGCAATACAGTTCTATAGCACCACAAACTACAACACCTCTCTAGAAGTTTTTAATAAAAACTGAACATTATAATCTTCACAAAGGAGGATTTTACAGGACAATTAGGTTGCATTCATTTTAGCTAGGTGTACCTGATAAACTGTCAAATGAGTGTATAATATATGGATCTTCTGGATTCTCCTGGTTGTTGCACTACAACAGCTGCTGTGTTTCACCAGAGATGACTGCGCATACAGATTTATTTTGCCTAACTGGTTATGCTTGTATTTAATATAGAACCCAACGCTGAGTGTAACCGGTAATTTTCAAGATTACTCAGCTATAGCACATAATGTTTATTTATTTAGTCATTCTGATTAACTTCATGATTGTCTGGAAGTTGTCTAAAGGTGTTAGCCACACTGTCACTTCAGAAAGCTGAGTACATTCTAACACCACTATAATATAATCTAAACCCTAGCAGTCATCTTTGTAAGAGCAAACAGCCTTTCTTTGGTGTCTTAGGAGTTGAATTTAACTACACTGGAGGAACTCTCTGCTGTGTAATAACACCATTACCACACTTCTGAAAGGAAAATGGTGAAATGTACAAGTAGTATTGCATTGTCATTGTAATTATGGTCATTGTCTGGTTGGATTATCAGATTATTTTCTGATGAAGCACAGAACATCCAAAAAGTGACAAAAATTCAGATTTTTTTTCAGGTGATGACTTAGGTAATGTCTTTGTGTCGAGTCTTCTTCATTATCTGTTGCTGCTTTTGTGGGGTATCAATCAAACAGACAGGACAGCAGAGTCAAACTGGTTCAATTAAGCAGTGCACAGACACTGCTGGCAGCCATCAGTAAGTCTCAGTAATGAGAGCTGAGACAAGGCACCTAAATCTCTTCTCTCATTCAGACATTACCCGAGGAAAGCTGCTGAACAGGGCCACATTAATGGGTAAACAAAAACTCAAGTCGTTTAATCCAATATCCAATTCTTTGTATAGCACACACCAAATATCTTTGTTCGGGAAAGCTTAAAGTAGATTAGATAGCTGCTGTTAAGTCCCCGAGATCAATGCACTTCTAAATCTTGAGTTAGAGTGATATTTGTGGTGAATCAGAGTCTTAACAGGGATTGAAGCAAGGTAGGAAGAGTCTTATGGCAACATTAGAGTCTGCTGGCTCAAATTAAATTTTTTAGTAAGTAAATAAAGATTAATTTGTATTAGCAGAGCAGCTCTTTGTTTTGCTTTGTTCAACCATAGAAGCAGTGTTTTCAGCTTCATATACAGGCATTTCTGTATCTCAAGCCACCAATTTACAGTATTTAACGGTGCAATCCTCCACAGGACAGAGGACTGAAGAGATAAACAGATGTGATGTGGAGCCTGAAGAGACTTCCTCCCTCAAGCTAACAGGAAGACACCATCTCCGTCCTGTAAGGTCAAGGAGGGTTATTCATGTCTGAGCAGATTGAGCTCGGTGCACACAAGATTCCACACAATGCAAGTTTCTTTTTTTTCCCCTTTGTTGTTGTTTTAAGTTTCAATTTCTATTACCAACCACACACAGTATACTGTATTCATGCTTCTGCAAGTGGTACAAAACAGCAAGATTGTGTTTTCCTGTTTCTATCAAAGGCGACAACAATGTCAATGTGTGGCTTCCTGTTTATTCTCTGATGGTTTGCGATGACGAAATGATCTACAGAAGGCTCCCATCACATGATTGGCCAATGCTACTGCAGGGTTAAAGTTTTAAGTTCACTCTCTTTCTCTCTCTCTATCTCTCTCTCTCTGTCTACCTCCTAGTTTCCAATTTGTGCTCTCATAGAGAGGTTGGTTTAAATGTTCAGAAGGGAGAATATTCTATAACCTTCTTATATTTGCATGTTTGAAAATGGCCCCATGTGAGTTCCCATTACCCAGGCAGTCTGCCCACGGACCTGGAAGCTTTCAAAGACTCAGTGTTTGTTGAGAGAGTATGCGAGTGTGGAAGAGGAGAGCAGCACACTGAGTGACCTTCAGACACACCAAAACTCATTTTATACTGGCAATTGCCATACACCATACTCACATTCTTCTTCTGTTCAGGTAACTGTGTGGTGAAATCTCCAAACTTCTGGGTATTTCGCATTAAGCATGAATCACCAGAGAGCTTTCACCTAAGATGAAATCTTGCATCATCCTCAACATGCCTGGCTGATCAACAGAGAGTCACCGAGACAGATACCAAGTTTTTGTTACAGCGTATCACTGATGAATAATAACAAATATTGCCTATTATCTGAAACAGACTCCACTACCCTAGACAAATCATCCTTTCTAACTTAATTAAAACTTTAACCTAATTTAACCCTGTTATACGTGGTTGTGTTGGATATGCTACTTTTTTTCCCAAGCAACATTTAAGTTTGAGCCTTTTATTTTGAAAGTGGAGGGACTTGCTTTCATTGAGCCAGTGTGTGTCGGTCTGTGTGTATTTGTATTTTTCCACTCACATCATTGAGAAACTATTTCATCTGCTCACTCAGTGCTTCCAGGATTTTAACTGGCAACTCGACTTTTCTGGGAATCTCTGGCAGTCTTTTTAAAACTGGCTCTTGATTTCAAACTATGCCATTATGCTCCAAAAAGTGCTTTTTCATTTGAATTAGCTGGAAGCAAACTCATCCGTCTGTATGAGAGCAAATGTAAAATAAAAATCTGATGCTGTACACCTTTGTCAAACAAGTTTAAAACACATGAACATGTCAAATACTCTACACAGACACTTGCACGAATGTGTCCCAATCAAGCAATAAAACTACATGTCATTTCAAAAGCTGATGACTCTGTGCTTGCTCAGGAATTACAGGAGTGGTTAAGAGTTCATCAGGTGCAGGCCCAGTTCTTGTTGAGTATGTTCTTGGCTGACCCCACTGCGCTTTACACCCTCCTGTCTGTGGGGAATGTGTCAGCGTCATACTGTACATGTCGCTCTGAACCGTCTTAGACAAAGCTATAGACACTGATAAGGGTGAGACAAGTGCGGGACGACTGGTGATCAGTGTGGAGACTCTTAGCTCTCCAGCAGTTCAGGCGAAGTGAAGGAGAAGTTACGAAACTCCTCCTGGTTGATCGACGGGATCATAGGGTCATCAATGGGCGTGAGGGTGGGTTCTTCCTGAGTAAAATCTGGGTCAAAGTTGTTGACGTCCTCTGGTGATTTCTAGAGGAGAGTAATAAACAATAACTCATTAGCAGCAACATTTTAGCAAAAAAAGTCAAACACTACGTAATGTCTGCAGAGTTATACACACACTACCATGCCATCAATAAAGTCATTCATGTGACTTACGATCCTGGGCTTGAAAGGTGGCTCTATTGCTCTACGATTCAGTTTCTCCCAATCGATGTCTGTGAAGAACGCGTGGCTGGTCACGGCGTTCTCTCCGCCATCTGAGGCCACACAGCCCAGACGCCGGGTCGGGTTTTTGGTCAAGAACTGTGAAAACCAAAAGATGGATGAATTCACAGACACACAGACTAAATAAGGGATCAATAAATAATCTGCCCCTTCTCAAGAATATGAACACATGAGAACAACACAAACAAAATTTCCACCAGATTATTTATTCATGATGTTGTCAAACTGAGGAAATGTGATGAGTTATTCAACTAGATCCCACTAGATTTTTCTGGAGTAATACCAAGCTGGACTCAAGCCAGCACACATCCAGTCAAACCCCACCCCCTGACTGACGAAAACACCCACACACAGTCTGCCACCTCCCATAACGCTTCAGTAGAAGAGAGTTCAACTAGGTTCAATAAAGCGTAACTAGGGAGTCTCAACTTCCTTGTGTTGTACAATAAACAATAGAACAGTGAATCACCTTTTGAACTCCAACTGCTTCTGTACCTCCAAAGTCAAGTAGGTGGGAGAGAAAAGAGGGAGAGGCCCAAACAAAATAAACTAAAAATGAAAAAACTTGCTTTAACTCGCCTCTGGAAAGAAAGTTAAAAAAAAAACAAATGTGTTTTTAGACAGCTCCATCTTGGCTAGGAGTCTGCACACACCTCAGGGCTGGCGGTGGCATTCAGACAAGGCCACAACAAACTAACGAGCCTCCATCTTCACAGCGACAGCGGCCAGATTAACCCGAAGTCACTAGCAAGATTAATATGCCTTGCAATATCAGCTCCAAATGTTTTTAACTACCCGAGACTTGGCCTAAACAGCACTGAATGCCTCAGCAAATCTAAGTTCACAGAGTAAAGAGTAAGGAGACAAGATACACGTCAACACGGGCAAAGAAGAATGTCACAAAAAAGAAGATGAAGAGGAGTGCGATGAACTGAAAACACCATAGTGTTGGTTTTGCGCAGTTCAGTCTTCAAACTCACAAATCCCACATGCCTCACATACCGCTGATAGTTTTCAGAAGCATACAACAACTTTGGATTGATGTCCCAGCTTATAGGCAGCTTCTGCTCCCTGTTTATACAAGAGCAACATGATCAAGACGTCTCTTTTGGATATGGCAAAGGAACATTACAGTTTAATGCTAGTGTAGTTGCATGCAGGGATTTGCAGCTGCAAAAGCCTGATTTTGATGACATGATTTGTAGCTAATGGGCTAAAATATTAAAGAAACCACACCAGTAACCCCAGTATGGTCGCTGAAGTGTAATTATCTGGGAGTTAGACAGACCAGCAGGGGTCAATCAGTTCAGGAGCCTGCAGACCACAAAACTGAGGAAAAACTATTTCACTGAAGTTGATGCCATCTTTCCATGGCTACAGCTGTGCCATCCTCACCACCAGGCCTGCCGTGTCAGCACTTCTACATGAAGAGGCCGTTCTCCATTACACCAGCAGAACGGCACAATGCAATCATAAAAGAATACTTGTGCTGAAACTATTAGTCGATGATTTAATCAATTAGTCAATTTAATCAACAATTGTGACTGACTCTATAAATCATTTAAGCAAAAGTATAAAACATTTGCTGAATCCAGCTTCTGAAATGTGAGTATTTGATGAATACAAAATCAGCACTGAAAGTAATTGTTTGTTTTGGCCCTCATTAATTTATCATCTGATTATCAGTAGACGCATGTCTATAGAGCAAACAGCTAAATAACCTTCAGTTATTATTAAAAAAGTAATAATTTTTATTTATTCTCAACAAACTCAATAATATTGATACTTCCGACAGATATCCTCACAAAACCGTGACAACCAAGCCGACTGAACCCCATGAACTTGCCTACAGGAACACGGAGAACCTTGCAACGGATCAACCTTCAGTATAAATAGTGCAGCAGTGTTCAAATCCACTCACACTGACATGCATCTTTATGTAACGTGTGACACTGGAAGCAGTAACACAAATCAACATGGGAGATTGGCTTGTTGCTTCCTTGAGCATGCCGGAATAACAACAAGGATAAGAGGAGGAGAACAGGGTGCAAAGAGGGGAGGAATGGAGGAAGGTGTCGTTGTATTTATAGCATGTGTGCTGTGGCTGGCCAGTGGACCATGCCTTAATATAGTTATGTAAGAGGCCCAGGCCAAACAGCTGGCTGGCAGAGCTCTGCAGGGCTGCCAGTCACTATGCAGTCACAGTGTCTGTCAGTCTAAAGGGCAACAAATAAAAATCCCTGATCAAACCTTTGATATCTTAAATATATCTTACTGCGGCTCATGTAACACTATCCAGAAATGCATTGGATTGATCTTTTAGTAAATGTTTACCGCTTATCGGTTTTCTCCACAATGCTGGTCACAAATCCAGTGAGACATTTCCTCTATCATCAGTTCAGTTAAAAAAAACTTCACAGACATTTCCTGCAATTGTATAATGTGGATTAAGTCCAGTAGAGGCGGCCTGAGGAGTGTAAATATCTGCCAAAAAGACAAAGACTACAGCAAGAGCTGGATTTCATCCAATTTTATCTATTATAAAATTTTTTCAGCTAATGAACCAACTAACTGTGGATACAAAATGAATAGATGCGGACTCACAGCTTTGAGTATATTCACTGCTTCTGTGCTGAGCCAAGATGCATAAACAATCTCTTCATTGAGGATGGATTCAAAGAGGTCATCTTCATTTTCGGCTTCAAAAGGGGCGTGTCCTGACAGCATCTCATACAGTAGCACCCCAAGAGCCCACCAATCCACAGAGGGGCCATAGAGCATCTCCTGGAGGATCTGGGGAAACATGTCACAGCACACCAATAAAGTTACCCATCATAACTCAGCAATAGAGAGCCTCACTGCAAATTTAAAACCACTCCATGAGGCTCAGTTAGCAGATGTATTTGATTAGTAAGTTGCCAGTGAGGCTACACTGAGGAGTACGTGTTGAGGATAGCAAAGAAGCCTTTCATAAATCCAGACACGCGGTCTTAGTCGGAGAAAAATCTCTCAAACATGGGGACACAGACCATCTTGATCCCTCATTATGAAATCAAACCATGCCTGTAAAGCTGCATTCTGATGAGGGGATTGGGGCTTGTCAAGTCAACGGCGGCGTTCACAAGCTGACCTCACAGGTGCGCTGCCTTCCAGTTAGTCAGGAAGGAGTTTGGAGTGACCGGCAGTAACCACACAGTTTGTTTTGAATGAGGTGGTGTGATGGAGAGGGGATGGGACTGGAAAATGCATCATATGAACTCAGAGAACCTGTGTTACAGGAAGCCACATGTGGTTGAATGTATTCTTTGCTGCAATCTGTTAAAAAAGTGCAGCAAAGTATCTAAAAATGACCTGGATCATAAATGTGGAGGATAAAGCATCCAACGGTCTGTAGTTAGTAGTTATGAGTGTGACTGTGTGAGTAGGAACTGACCTCGGGGGCAATGTAGTCCGGGGTCCCACAGAAAGTTCCTGTGGCTGCACCTTCAAATATGCCTTCTTTGCACATGCCAAAATCTGCCAGTTTACAGTGTCCGTCTTTATCAAGAAGAACATTGTCCAATTTTAGATCCCTGAAAGGCAAGACAAACACAGAGAAAAATAGAAAATGAATTATTTATTTTGAGACATTGTTATCCAGCAGACACAAATAGTGAATAGTAAAGGCCTGAAGCTCATCACATGCTGTCATTCAACTGACGCCAACAGCTGCTAAAATGTTAGTTTCTGCTCAGACTCCAGTCGCAGCCTGCTGGTGTTGTTTCTAATTATATCTGACGGAGGTAGAAATTTGTGGTGAGACAAAAAGAAAGAGGTCCTCTGAGGACAGTGAAGTTTCTGTGGCAGCAGGAGACATGAACAGACAACTCCCTGACCATGACATGGCAGCCAGGAAAAGTCTGACACATTCAGATGACCACTAAGGCTGCCATGAGGGAAAAAAAACCTCTGATGTCAATATTTATTCTGCTTCCAGGAAAGTCCAAACTTGGGCTATTGTTTTGTTTTTGTGTTTTTTTTTGTTTTTGAACAGATTCAACTTACACTGTAGTAAATTGGATGCGGTCACCTGTACTGGAGGTAAATTAAGAGTTAGGATAGAGGGTCATATTCTACTTGTAAAACTTTCTCAGACAAATGTGACTCTGGGCTATATAAATGAAACTGACTTGACTTAACTGCTAAAATTAACTATTTTGTTTTTTAAATTACAGGTATTATCAAAGGAGCATTTGAAGAACTAGCTAGAAAGAACCTCTATCATACAAAAATTTCTTAGGCCTATATTACTATAGTTATTTCCCTCCTGGGATCAATATAGTCTGTCTCTCTGTATGAAAACAGTGAAATAGTTTTGTGTGTTGTGTTCTGTGTGTTGCCAAATTGATGAATAACCCTGCTAATGGGAATCATTTTGTACTTGTTGAAATATCTCATTTAAGTGCAAACTCCTTAGTTTTAGTCTTGGGAAGCAATAATAATATACCTAAATTATTAATAGTAATTGAATTGAAAATAAAATTTATATCAATATCAGTGGATGTATGTTCCTCATTGCCAACTTTGGCTGTGGATGACCCATAACGCAACGCTGGAAAAATGCTGTGCTCTGTGTTCATGTCAGCTGGTGCTTTGTCATCTGACAGAGCGATTAAACCTGCTGAGTGTGGGCTCTGGAGTCGAGCTGTAATCTGTGATCAGGTGACCCAAGTTTAGACCAAGGTCATTTTACTTCCCGTCTGGCCATGAAGCCAGGCCGAAGATACTATGTAACGGCTCATGCTGATCCTAATGAATTACAACATTTGGGACAGCAACAGCAACTGATTTTTTTTCTATTTCCTGTTAATTCCTGCAACAGATGATACAAAGATTCTGAGTGGTTTCCTCACAATAGGATGACAAATCCAAAAAACAGAAATTCTGAATGTAAAAGAGAGAGGCAGAATGATGGTCAAACAACACTGCTTTGGTTGGATTAATCTGGTTTCTCTTCTCTACCGTAAGCCGATTGTGTAACACTGACTCATATGGTCATGGTGCCTGTCCATCGCAGCCCAACAAACAGGCTGAAGAGAGCTGATGCTCACACATCATGACCGCTCACCCAAAGCACTTTCCTGTTCTATCAGTGTGTACATTTTTGCATGAATATGTCCAGTGAGAAATGAATCCCTAACCCTGGCAGTTTTACTACCATGCACTCATCACTGAGCTGCACAGGGCCATACATCACTATGCAAATAACCAACTGTAACTACAGCTCCCGCACTCCTTCATCCACCCAGCTCATCACAATAGAAAGACAAGTCTGACTTGGTCTTTGAACGTCTTTCTACAGGAAGTGGGTCAGTCGGGCACTGTGGTATCCATAGTAACAGTAACATCTGGAACCCCTACAACACTGAGTGAGTGAACTTTGTTATAGTAGAAGAACAACTGACAGGCAAAGAGAGATAGAGTTGCAGTAACATGAAAATTTCCAAAGAAGAGAAGAGGAAGTGCTGACAAAGACTATGACGAAAAAACTGTGCTTTTTTTTTGTGATTGTGGTAAGGGGGTAATATTACATCTGGAAGCATATACATATCAACTTGAGGTTATACCACAGTGATCTGAGTCACAATCTACTGTATATTTTACATGATAAATTAACACAGTCTTAAAATAATGGGATGAAGTATATCATATATATACTATATATATATATATATATATATATATATATATATATATCCTGTTCCCTCTTACATGGTTTCTTCTCTAACAGAGAGGTGATGACAAAAGATTGTATACCACGAAAACACACCTCTATGGCACAGTTGCAACAAAACTTCATAAGTCTCACAAAGGCAGACTGTTTCAAGTCTTTACTGTCAGTATACTTGTACCCTTGTATGTATTTTTCAACATCTTTAAACTTCTTTTAGAGCAGGACGGTAACACGAAACATCGACACACGGTGGCGTCACCTGAGAAGCTTCAAACCACAACTTTACCTAGAGCTAAAAGCGCAAACAGAGATAACGAGTGGAGTCACGAGAAGACATTCATATTACACAACACAGTGACTGAGGCTACAATTATACTTTAAGGAGGCAGCTCCTCTTACACTGACCTTAATGTGTGAGCTGCTACTTGGCTCGTTATTTAAGTTATAGCATGCAAACTGTCTGTGGCCTCTTAAAGCCAAGAGTCATGCTATGTGGTGCAGGCTGACACAGAACACACAGACCACTAAATATAACTCTGGTTTTACTGTTAGTTCACATGATGCCCTTCTTCCTTATCATCGTCATGTACTGGCAGGAAGCCCACTGCTCTGCCACCCAACTCTGCCCTGCAAGTAGACAACAGCATCCTGAATAAGGTCTCAAAGAATACACTCTCATATGAGGCAGGGGTACGAGCAATAACATGATGAACATATCAATTCAGAACATAAAATTCTATTATCAAAAGAGCAGTTCACAAAAAAATGAACAATGTAATCAAGCTGATGTGAACTCCATGGCAATCCGTTGTCATAGTGTGCCTACTGTTATAGGGTATGACCAGAGCCTTGAGGAAAATATAGGTGATAATGAGTGTGTGGCTGTGAGAACGGTTTGGACAATTCCTGATGGAAAACATTTCAAGAAGGGAGAACATCGATAGTTTTGGGGAGGAGGCTGAGATGAGTCCACAGGGCAAACTGATTCATATGTTTCATGGTCCCAAGAACTGCAAAGATGGTCTGATGAACTGAAATGGGAAGTGAGGAAATAATGTCTTAATAGACACTGTGACGTTTACACATCCATCTTACAAGAGTAAGCCAGAGACTTTGTATTTCACTTCCATAAAGTTGGACAATATGAAAAAGACAGATTACACAAATGGTCAACAGAGGCCAAAGCACAAAAATTGTATCCTGAATTTGAGTCGCTACTATGAGTCAAACTCCAAAAAACGCTGCATCCTAAAATTTCCATAACACAACTTTAGAGAATCTTTTGTTAAACCACCCGTTTGATAAATGCCACCATCTTTTAAATGTCATGCATTTCAAGTTCATTCGTAACACAGGTTTGTGGTCTCAGAATTAAAGCCAGATAGGTAAGCCTAATGATATTATCAGTGGTTATTGTCTCAGACTTGACAAAGCAAGAGATTATACAGCTGTTTTTTTTTTCTATTCTTCCTACAACTAAAATAATATTTTATGACAAAAAACAGGCTAAATGACTAGTTAACTATTCATCGTTAGCTTCGGAGACCTCTGTGGACATATACTCGATTTGGGAAAGCAAATTCAACTGTTGTTTGTCCTCCTCCATTCAGACCTGTAGATGATGCCTTTGCTGTGCAGGAACATGAGAGCGGAGGTGATCTCTGCCGTGTAGAAACGTGCTCTCGGCTCTTCAAACTTCCTGGACTTCTGGATGTGAAACATAAGATCGCCCCCATTCACAAATTCCATCACAAAGAACAGACGGTCCTGAAAAAGGAAGCAAGGAGATTACATTTAAACACGTGCACACAAACCACAAGAGCCTCACAGCAGCTCCCGTGTTATTAAACAATCTAAGAACCCATGAACGTGGGCGTGCTGAGATTGCTTCAAGGACGAAACATGACTGCTTCGCATAAATTTCACATCTTTTTAATGGATTCCTGTCCAACTTACCACACTTTAAAGTCAGCCAGGCAAAAAAAAACATACTGATCAAACCCATTAATCTTTCTTTCTCATTACAGGCTCTGGTCGATATATGATCTAGAAAATGAGACCCTGGGGAAAAAAACACTGCAGGAGAACGTTATGTACAGATCTGACCGTGAAGCTTCCAGAAGTGATCAGGACCTTCAGCCACAGCTGACTCTTGTTAACTGCTCTGTGGTTTAGATTTGTCTGTTTTTTTTATCCTGAGATTACATGTATAATGTTTAATAAGAAATGTGTTGCACATGCAAAACAGGCTGAGCTCTGTGTGTGGTCTAGCTGTACAGCTGAATTAATCTTTAACAGTTTCATCTTGACAGTGAAAGTGCTATTTTACCCCAAAAACCTGGTTCCCTGTTTTTACTTCACTAAATTAAGTTGTCCAAGGAGAATCTGTCTCTACTTGAACATTAAAGTAACCACAGATGCCATTTCCTGGGGTGGACATTTTAAATCCACAGCCAGTGAATGGTGCCTCTGGGCTTTCCAAGTTTAGTAAGACCTATCCTGTTTTGCAAGATAGTCTCCAAACCTCCGTAAAATTGCTGAGCTAGATGTCGAATTATGCAAGATTAGATTCAATGTTCAGTGTTGTTTGTTTAAGATGAACAGCTAATGACAAACTGCAACACTGAAGGACAATTCTCCAAAGACATCATCATTTGGTAAAAGTGTCCACTTCGCCACAACCCTCCTCCTCATCCCCTCCTCCATTCTTTCCATGCTTACTTATATTTTTCCATATTCACAAAAATAGGTCATATTTCTAATAATATCAATGTTATGACACAATTTAAAATCACAGATAATTTGACACTTTAATTTATTCACAATTAAAAGAAATGTTCTTGCTTTCACAACAAATGCGTTTGTGCGTGGGTCTGAAACAGTGAGGGGAGCAGCGTCACTGATTCAATTCTCCACTACTACTGCTGCTCTATTTTGATCAGAGGTAAAGTAGGCTGGTGGCGGTTCCAACGAAACTAAAGCAGATTAGGTGTCCTGTCTGCACCAGAAAGTCAGGCTCTGCAAGCTGAGCGTCATCCACCTCCTCACACCCTCTCAGACACGAGACTAGGGCACTGCTGCCACCTGCTGACCAGCTCATGCAAAGCATCATGGGATACTAAACCAAATGAGCAGAAAGATATTTAACAAGTGAATGAGGGAATGTCTCAGTGTTAGTGATGCTCACAATATTACATAAAAAAATTATATAAACGGCAAAATCTCTTGTGGATAATACAGAGTAATAGGAACACTGTTCTATAACTGCTCTTGATTTTTTTTTTTTAAATGTCTTTTTTCAATGCTCTAAGAATAATTCCATTAACCTCAAACATACTGGGGAGATGATTTACAACAACCAAAAGTACAGGCATGGTTGGGTACCACTAGAGGGAGTGACATAATAGTTTTTAGTAATTTTGGTGAAACGGTTCATTGAAGCATTTATTGATAAGCAAGGCAGTAAGAATGAAAATTTTGTCACTGGATGACCACAGAATTTCTATGGCAAGTTTCTTAGTGTGATGTAAAAACTTTTCTCTTTCAGCAGCATTAGTAAAGGATCTTAAATTCACAGATCAGAGATCATTCTAAATATATTGAGTGTTTTATGGTTTCACACTTGTATCTAGTGAGTAGACTACTTGTTGTTCTTATTTATGCCATAATTTGGTCCGCAAACATTTCTCAGGAACTGAAGAGAAAGTGTCTTCAGTGTGAGACGAGATCAGTTGAACTGCAGCAGGCTCAACACGCAAAAGGTTCTATGAGGCTGCACCACACCATGTGCCAACACGCTGATGTTTACCAGGCATAATGTTCGCCATTCACAATCTTTGTTTAGTTTGTTTGCACATTAGCATGAAGCAAAAAGTTCATCTGAAGCTGATGTCAGTGTCATTACTTTGATTAAGAAGTGATGGTGGTGTTAGATGAAGTGTCAGGGAAGTTATTGCAATTCATCCAGACGGGGACACAGTGTTGAGATATCAAAGAAAAAAAAAAGAATAAAAAAAAAAGAAAAACACCATGAATGTCTGCACAAACTCATGCAGTAAATGTTGAGATATTTCTCTGAATAGGTGAAAACATTGAACTGCTGGTGGCGGTAGAGGAAATATTTCAGTCTGGTGTGAAGTGGCCGACCAGCCTACTGACTGACAGGCCGACACTGACAACCCTAGAGCCACGCCTCTACCATGGGCTGAAGAGGAACTATTTGCTCTCACAGTAAAAACTTACCGAACCGTGACACAAGTGCAAGTGTGTGTGTGGCTGTACTAACCAGTGTCTGGAAGCAGCAGTACAACTGTGTGAGGTAGGGGTGACAGCGAGCCAGTGACAGCACCCTCTTCTCGGTCATGGTACACTCCACATCGTCATCCTGCAAAATGATGTCCTTTTTCAAGACCTTCACGGCAAACACCCGCTCTTTGTTGTTAAGTTTCGCCAGCATCACCTGCAGACACAACGTAAACACAGTCCGACAGATGAGTTTTCTCAGATTCAGCGTCACCTTGATGCCACCTGGGATTTTTTTATTATTAGTACATTTATTCTGGTATTAGCAATACTGTCTGATAAATAGTCAGTAAATGCCTGTAGGTGAAAGCAGGTACATTTTTTTTTCTAGTATCCATGCCCCTACATTTGGCCTTCTTTCCCATTCATCACCTAGGTCATCATTTCATTACAGAGAGCATTTCTTGTTATCATCTCTCATCATTCCCACCTTGCCAAAGCTGCCCTTCCCAAGCACTTGAAGGAACGTGAAGTCTGAAATCCCCAGCCGAGGGGTCTGCTGCTGAGAGTCTGTACTCCGTCTCCTTTCAGGGGGCGCACTCACCTGACTTGGACTTCTGGCCTGTCAGGACAAAAACAAACAAATAATCAAAACACCAGTTACATTATCCTGATTCAAGCTGCATTTAAGTAAACTTTATACTCATTTGATTAATTCTGAAAAAAACAAACAAAAAAAAAAACAAACAAAACATCTCAGCCTTTGTACCATTGAGTTGCGTTTAGTGAGCCCTCCAGCCTGCAGACCCATCTCTGCAAGCCTATTGGCCAGTTCCACACTGTTGACCCCACAGTTTGGCGCAACGTTGCCTTTGCAGCGAATGTGAACATTCATTTTACAGACTGAAGAGAGAAACAACACAGACAGAAACACTTGTGAAAGAGACACCAGGACATTTGAGATCCTCATTTTAAATGTGAAAGTTGCGATGGGTCTTACTTTTACAGTGCAGCCCCTGCCTGACTATTCCCCATAGCAGTGAGCCACAGTGGTCACAGAAAGTGGGCGACTTGTAGTTGTGGATGTTGAACTTGTGAGGGACGTTGATGCTGAAGCCTTGGTTTACAGGTTGCTGAGAAGAGACACACTGATCTAACCACTGCGAATTACAACAGTATGTTCAACCATGTGTGTACATATTCTAAATAACCATAAATTGCCACATAGAGTGCATTGTGAAAAATGTTTAGTTCCTATTGCTGTCATAGTGGTACTGCTTCTGTGTATTGCTGCATTTTGCTTCTCTATGAATCCCCCAATTGAGAGAAACTTGCTGTGTTCAGCAAAATATAGTACAACAGAGCACAAGTATTTATAGCAATTTATGAAAATGCTACAACAAGCATGTGTGGAAAAGTACTGTATAGAACAATGTTCTGGCTCAGTGACCACCTCAAGACAGAAAGAGGAACCTGTACAGTCTGCTGATCACTGCAGGTGTTCATTAGAGGTGTCTGTGTGTGTGTGTGTGTGTGTGTGTGTGTGTGTGTGTGTATGTGTATGAGGATACCATCTTTATCTTAATCTTGTGTGCATCCTGCATTACAAAAGAAAACCCTGCTTGAAACGTGTGAAATACCAGCAACAACATGCTTTGTTACTGATCTGTCAATAACAGCATAGTGATACTGTTATTGAACAGGAACTCTGTTATTTAGTTGATTAAAGTGTGTTAACTGACAGTCAAACTGTTACCTGTTCTTTTGCTGGCTTCTTCATGCGTGGGCACACTGTGACGACATGCTGGTGGCATCGTTTGTGAACCACACAGGTGCACACTGAAAAGACAACCAGTCAATGTCAAACTCAGAACTTATGCCTGTATGTTTAAGTAGCCGTGTCAAAAGGCAGAAGAGGAGAAAATAAAGTCGACTGACCTTGGCACTGGTAACCCTGCTTTCCAAAAACACCCCTATAACAGAGACAGAGACAGTCAGATCCAGTTTACAGTCTACACAGATACATGGAGGCAGCAAGTGATTCGTCCTTGCTCGACTGTCTCACCAGATGAACTCTTTGCAGTGAAAACAGAAGGTGGGCTGGCGGAGAAAAGTAGACATGAACTTGTGTCCGTTGACCTGGTGGATCCTCCGTCTCACGGCCCCCTGCCGCTTCCTTGTAAACTGCTTGTAGGTCTTCTTCTCTTTAACAAGGGCATCATCTAAAAACAAGATGAGAGTAAAAGTTCAAACAGTAAGAGAAGAGGCACTTTTGTCAACAAGTCATAAATCCATACACCAACTCCTCAGGACCACCTAAGAGCCAAAGTTTGAGAATTTAGAATTGATCACTGTTGCCATATTGTGGGATTTCTTTAAAGCAGCTACAATCAATATATAGTTTAAATTAAAACATCACTACTTGTATATTAAATGGGTCAACTGTAGTGGCAAAAGAATTAACACATGGCTCTGCAGGCCTCCTCAGCCTTTACAGGGGTTTATGCATATTTCAGGTCATGGTTTTGGTTTTTTGACCTACAACTTTACGCTTTCGGTTCACTCTCATTCCAAAGCTTTTTCAGGCCACAGCAGGGAACTGTTCTAAGCTAAAAAAAAACAAGAAAAAAAACAAGAAAAACACCAAACGCCCACTGTATACCACCTGCTAAGCATCGGCCAGCAGATAGAAAATTTTAGCTGCTGAAGATATTTTCCACAGGACTTGAAGTATAGTTCCAAATGAAGGCTACTATCCACGCCTAAATTACTTTATGTGTAATTATTGGGTCCTATGTCAATTATTTCTTTGACAAAACGATGAATTAGTTAGGCCAAAAACCCAAAGATATTCCATTAAAAATATTGTAAAACACTGAAAAGCAACAAATCAAGTTGGAACAAGCAAATACTTGGCATTTTGCTCGATAAATGACAACAAATTCATGATCAAAATTGTTGTCAATGAATTTTTATTTGATAGATAAATCCAAGGCCAGGTCCAACATGCCCTGTTTTATATTGTGAGGTTTTACTTGATGTCATTATTCAGTCCAGCATGATGGACACCAGCTTGACAACAGTTGGTGATTGATGATTTTCCATATCTAAAAAATTTAACCAAATATTGTGATATTATCGTTATTTTTTTCTAGATCATACCACCCTAACTATTGCATAAAAAAAACGCATGCCACAATAAAATTTTAGTTTTTTTAAATTACTGAGAATACTGAGAGGGATTTGCTTTACTGACTTTAAGTGCATGTCTACATTTACCCTTGTACACATCTGCACAGTTTGGCTCTATTTTAGCTCTGAGTAAGTGTAGTCGAGCAAGTGTCTATTCCGAGGTGAAAACCACACATGCATTACGGAAACTTGTCTACTGAGCCCCCAGAACGCCCCTGCAAACAACAGATCTGTGTGTGGTAGTGGTGTGAAAAGAGGGCTTTACAGTGAGACTAATATCCTATGTACACTGCACGACTTTTATCATATGCACATCTATGAAGTTTTACTAAAAGGAGTTTACAGCGGATATTGACAAGTGCAGAGCAATAATCAAATATTAGGTATCAACCTTCAGTGGAATCGTATCATTAGTATGGTAGTATCATAGTATAGTATTATCATCGTGGTATTAAACATTTGATTAGTTTATGTGATTTTTCTCATGTTTTCAATATGTAGATATGCAGTATATCCATGTCAGAAAATATTCTTTTAACACTGTGATATTTTCAGCTGTTGATATTCAGTGCTGTTGTGCCTCCCATACCCTCATTGTGGGTTGTCACCACAGTGATGTGAAAACTTCTGGACAGTTTTTTTTTTTTTGTCTTTGGGTTCACTTTCAATGTTTGTACAGAGTTTTGTGACAGTGTGGCGCTTTGCTGGAAAACAAACATCCCCCTGGACTCTGGACAAACAAATACAAAAACAACAAAACAAAAATCTCAGAATATGTGGTGTGTTAGGGTTTAAGATCTTGAAAGTTCAGAAAATGTTGTGTTAAAATAGGTTGAATAAAACATAAAACAGCAAGGGAAAAACACTAGGGGAACCTTTGCTCCTGTGAGATTCTGGTCCATGTTGACATGACTGTGTCACCTCATTTCTGCAGATTTGTCAGTTTCACATTCATGCCGCCAATCTTCTGTTCTACCACATCCCGATTCAGATCTGGGACTGGGGAAGCCACTGAAGTTCACTGAACTCACTGTCATGTTCATTAGATCGATTTCAAGACGACTTCTGTTTTGTGACACTGCATTAGCATGCTGGACGCAGCCATTAGAAGATGGTAAATTGCGGCCATGAAGAGATGCACACGGTCAGCAACAGGACCCAGATGGTTGATTGGTTTTAAGGGCCCTAAATGTGCAGAGAAAATATTCCACCACCTACACCAACCAGGACTGTTGACACAAGGCAGGTTGTGTTCATGGATTCATGCCATTGAATCCTGCTTCTGACCACACCATCTGCTTGCCTGAGCAGAAATCCAGATTCATCAGACCAGTTCTGGTGAGCCTGTGCCCACTGCAGCCTCAGATTGCTGTTCTTGGCTGACGGGGGTGGAGCATGACATGTTGAACCTCCTCAAGGTTCAACATGTTGCACATACTGAGATGCTTTTCTGCTCACCACAGTTGTAAAGAGTGGTTATCTGAGTTACTATAGACCTTTCTGTCAGCTCCAACCAGTCTGGCCACAGTCAATTGACCTCTCAGAGAGGTATGATGGCAGCAGATAAAAAAAAAGTGGAATTTAATCGCAGACTTCTTCAATAAACGTTCAAGGTCACTTCATGCTTGTCTGATTTAAACCTCTCATTGGCTAAAAGATCCAGTGCATGTCCAAGAAACAGATGTGCCAAACACTGATGCCTTCTGATGTCTGAAGAAAGCAAACGTTCCTCTCATCACAACAAATTAGATAGACAGCGCATACCAGCCCACTCAATTCACACACAAGTATCCATGTATGCATGTATGCATGTATGCAGTGCACACACACTTATTTTTAAAGCCTATTATTGCACATTTGAGCTTTAGGTATTCAATGGCCTGCAAATAATAACAATTTAAAACTACAGGCAGTGTTTCACAGACTAGAAAAGAGAAGACAGTGACTAAATGAGTCAGCATAAATGTTTAGCACTGCAGCTACAGAGTATGTGAAAAAAAAGAAGCAGAAGTGAGATGGTTATAATTAGGCATGAGGAGAAACACAGGGCTGCATTTAAACCTACAGTAGGAGCCTTACCATCAGTGAAGGATCCATTAAGCGTAATAAGGACGTAGACCTTGCCCTCTGGCTCCAAGTCCATCTGCAGACACACAAACAAAAACGCACAATTATATTTCTGCACACAAGATACCCATATAGCTGATCTGAAACAGAGCAGATGTTAAGATCTATAGACTAAGATCTATGACTAAGGATAAGTAACAAAATCTAACATACAATAAACAAAAGTTAAATCCCCATAAAAAGGCATAATTGATGATTTGAAAGTATATTTGAAACTTAGAAAGAGTTGTTGGAACAAAGACGTTTTAGTTATAGGAACAGGATCAAAAGGGCATGTGAAAGGTGTATGTTTTTGACTTTTGAGCATCATTCCTTAAGCTCTAGCTCACTTAAGATGTAGCTATGTAAACAGCATTTTTTTGCATACTTCAGTGTATACGTATTGTCTGGAGGAATTTGGACACAAAGACAGCACAGCAGGCCAGGCAGGTTGAGCAGGTTGCTGAAGTGGTTATTACCTTATGTTCAGCTGTGAATGATGAAGTAAAAATACATACAGCGCATCTTTTTCACAGCAATTGGCTGACAGAACAAGATACTTCCTGCAGCAACCACCGACTGGAAACTTAGGTCACTGTACCCTTAAATAAATGCATTAACATTACACACAGACTCTGCCTGGAAAATACTCCCTGCCCACAAAACAGTGTGGCATCAAATGTTGCCACTCAGTTGGCACATTTAGTGTAAAACCTTCATCTCAAGGAAGTGTTCATTTCACTTCTTCTCAAAGATGTCCACTTTTGTTCTCAGTAACCTGCTCATATCCTGTATCTCAATCTATAGTCCAGACTGAAACTCTGACTTGTCCAAGGTGAAGACTTCCTCTTTGTCTGTCATCTTTGGTATTTTCACCTGATAAAAAGAACTAAAAAGCTGCAATGTATTAGGGAATTTCTGAAATTTGTCTCTACTCTGACAAGACAGCTCAGCTGGACAAAAGGAGTTGGATTAAAGGACAGGCTCACATTTTTTCAAGTCTGTCTTTACCTTTTGTTGTTTGTTGTCAAATTCCCTCTTTGTGTTACTATCCCTCTGCTGCAACAAAGATAGTCATCATATTGACTTTGGAATTGTTTAAGAATTATTTGACTTTAGAATATGTTTTTGCACAGAATGAGGACCCCCACCCTTCCTTCACATAATGATGCTGTAGTTAAAAAGCAGAACATTTAATGCTGCATCACAGAGGAGGAAGTCACTTTTTCTTTTTCTTTTTTTTTTAAGAAACTGGGTATGGGGCCCTTTTTAGTCAAGAAAGCACAGTACACTTTGCTGGAAAATGTTAAGGTGCCATATTCAACACGCTTTCAGTTTCAGTGCTCCTCAGAAAGACCTACGTCAAGTCTGAGTAACAACTCTCACACCAAACATACCTGAATAGTGATTACACCCAGCAAAATGTGAATGAAGGAGTTCAAATAACTGAGTAAAAAGTCAGGAGATGACACAATGTTGTGTCAGGTGGGAGGCAAAGGAAACTGGCCCTGTGTCTAAATGTCATATGGTGGATGTCTCAGATGGATGATGTCAGTCCTCACAATAACTTCACTCCGAGTTAAAAGAAGGAGTTGAGTAACTAACAGATTCCACTTACATTGAACTTATAAGGCATTCAATGGCAGCAAAGACACTCAGCTTTTTGTGGGGTTTAAGGGCATCAAGCTGGATCATGTGCACAGATGAAAGGGGGAAAAGGGAATTAGAGCATCTGGATAAGAGCCAATAGAGAGTGAGTATTTTAACAGTGAGCCCTTGAGCACTGATCAGACGGTGGGAACACTGTGATAAACAGCAGTGTAGGCGTGTGGAGGCTTGTGCCTCATATGTGAAACAAACCAGCCCAGCACTTCTTCTCTGCAGCAAAGAACAAAAAGCCTTCACAGTTCAGATGTAGCGGATAACAACTTTTAAGCGTGCATCTTGAACTGCCAAAAGTCTACTGCACTAACCAATCACTTCTAAAACTACAGACCAAGCTCCACTTTCATACCACTTCCCCTCAGTGCTTGGGGTCTCAGTGAAGGTTTGTGCAAAGCAGTCTTCAATGTTATTTTTTGTTGTCGTTTTTCTCAATCTATTCGGCACTCGCCCAGATCAAAAATATGCAGATTTTCTCACCTTTATGTATTTCTCATCTCCACACAAAACCAATTTATTTACATGAGCCATAAACCGTCATGCCATGCTAAGAGACCTTTCCACACCATAAAAGATCAATGTAGATGTCTGGTGTGAGTAAGTCAGTAAGGTGTGGTGGTGAGAATCGAGAATTTATTATTAATTTCTATAAAGTTACTAATTTATGTACATATAAGTATGTGAAATTGAGGCAGTTGTCTTTAATGTACAATAACATACAAGCTTTCATGTTTTGTTCTGTTTTATCTGTTTTACTGTTACTGTAAACTCCTTGTTGTATACTTTTTGGTGACAGGCCATTGCTTAGTATATGATAACTTAAAAGTTCAGACAATTTTGACAAATTTCTTTCAGGAAAAATGTGCTTGGTTGAAAGAACCTGTATTGGCTTGAGGAGAATAAGTCTGCAGAATGGAGACAAATCTGCATTTAGTGAGAGTGTTATGGTTCGTAGTCGATACCACCTCAGCCTGCTCCAGGCCTGGACAGGTTCAGGTTACACTCAGCAGCACCTGCAGTGGCTTATAGACCTAGAGAGATCAACGTAAGTGAGAAGAGGGAAACTCCAGTTTGAACTAGCAGTTTTTGTTTGTGTCTGGAAGTGATTAAGACTTATACGATACTTTTTTTTTTTTTTCCTGAATTGTCAAGTGAGCATTAGAAATATTTAAGCACTAAAGTTTAGAAAATTATTTCATTAACACCTCAAGCAACCAAGTACATTTAACAGATGATAATCTATAAATATTCCAGTCTGGTTTTTGATCTTTGGCTCTTCTTCAAGTTTGTAATGACTTTCTATTGGCTGAAAATGCTGGTGATTGCTCTATCTTAGTTCTTCTGGACCTCAGGGCTGCTTTCGACACAAATCCACTGTGTATCCATAAAAGACTCATTGACAGACTGGAAAAGTGGGCAGGAATCACGGATGTGGCCTTAAATTGCTCCAGGTCCTTCCTAATAGATTTTCTCTGTGTCGATGGCTGGCTTAATTTCATGTGCCGCAAACTTATTCTCCAGTGTCCCCCGGGGTTCAATTCTAGGCCCTATTCTATTTTCCATCCATATGCTCCCTTTTGGTGACAATATCTACAAATATAAATGTCCAGTTTCACTGTTACTTTCACTGTTACGCCAACGCAAGACAGCTCTATCAGACCAGGTGACCAGTCTAACAAGCAACACTCCACAAGCGTTGCTGAAATAAGATATTTGATGTCAGACAACTTCTTCCAATTAAATCATACAAAAATTATTTTAAAGAAATAAAATAAAAATAAAAATATTAAACGTTATTTAGCACTACCTGTATTGAAAACTGCTATACAAATAAAGTCTTTTATAAAAAGTCTTATAAGTAAGCGTTACTTTGCCCCTGTGGTTACTCTTGTAATATCATCATACAACTGTTCATACAGGGACGTCAAATGCAGTGCACTGTGGTGCAACCTGTCTTCATAAGCAGAATTAACACCTTGCCAGAGCAGCAGCATGTGTGGTTTCAGACCATATTCAATTATGATCACACTAAAAGCTTCTAAGCCATGTGCAATGAATGTTGCCCCAAGCTTAATAGCATGTCGCCTTTCCTGAACTTGCTTCTGAAATACTGTTCAGTAGGTGTCATAACTTTCATGGAGAAACTGCAATATTACTGTGTAAAGAATAGGACCTAGTACATAGGATTTGTGGTAAATTTAGGTGTTTGACCTTTCTCGTATAACTTTAACTGTAGACACAATATGGCTATTTTCAAGTTCTTTGATTAACAATATTCCACTACTACGTCAACCTCAGGCTCCGGTTTTTGCCATTTAACCATGAGGCTATTGCTTCTTGGAGTTAAAGTTGGATTAAATCAAGACTGTAAAAGGCCACCAGGCCTACTAGGGCCCCAAAACCAACTCCAATGCATGTAAACTGATCTTAGTTATTTGATTGGTTAAAAATTTGTCTCAGAATTTGCACCACTTATGTGCAATAACAACAAAGTCAAATCCTGCATTAGTGTCTGACGTTGTAGAGGGGCTCAATGTTGAAACATCTACTTTCACCTCCTATTAATATTTGTTGATATTGAGCTGACATGGAACATTTGAAGTTGTTTTAAATCAAATTTGTGTGCATGAACGACACATTGATCTTTTTGAGTACTGATACTTTCATCAATGGTCAGTACAGATCAACAACCTGTTTAAGCTGTATTCAGGGATGGTCTCATACTCTGGGTCTCCAGTGGTCAGTGCCCCTTTGGTTCAGGGTGCTTGGACCCCAGTATACCTGCTGGCAGATTTAGTTTACTGTCTTGTGTTTTAATGCATGTGATGCAGTACATTCAACTCATAAATCATGACTGTTCCATATGATAATACATCAGTCTCTTTTTACAATAAATAGTCTCAGTATCTGTGATTGTAGTCCTGCAATTACTCAACACTGGATTAAAACCACATTTTGTGATATTGCCCATCTCTGCTCTCATATGGGTGGTGGGGTGGGGATCGGTCAACAGGGTCCCAACAGGAAATTTGTGTCCCCGGACACCCTTATATGTAAATCCGGCCCTGTTCAGACTTATGAGGCTGCACAACACGTTTACCTTGAAAAAATTATTTTTCACTCACCCATCCCTCGAAAATCTCTCCTGTGTTGGAGGATTTGATGAGGTCCTCAAACTGAATGGTGCAGTTGGCCACAAAGTCATCATATCCGATTGGAGTGTCGTGGAAAACCGCCAGCTCGATTTGTTTCGCGTCGTTCACGTTGAGGCAGAACTCCTCGTTGTAAGTCGGCATGTTGGTTTTCTGTTTGGTGTGAGTTTGTCCAATTTTGTAGTCGTCCACCTTCACCACAATGTAAGGGTCCAGGGCTGGAGCAGCTTTATTGAAGATGACAGTGTGGCGGAGGGAAAAGGTTGTCGGCTTCAGGTCCACCGCCTCACCGATCCGGAGCTTCAGATAACCGTTAAACTTCATCTTTGTTTCTTTGTTGTTGTTATTTTTTTTATCTAACTATTTGAGTCTCACGCGGAAAGTAAAAAAAGCATTCAAAAGGCGAAAAAATAAAACAGTTGTTAAAAAACAATTCACGCCTGCTTTACATAAACAATGACCAACAACAATGCTAGAATAATTTCATAGTTATAATTTCTATACACCAATTTGGCGTCAGCTCGTGCGCAGCATTGCATTCATCCTGACTTGTAACTTGTTCCTACTGAGCTCCCGCTTCCCAGCACAAACGTTTGCTGTCAGCCGACAAAACGACGTCTTGTTTGTGAACCTGTTTCAAGAAGTTTCAGTAAATAGGAAGCCACAACACTGACATGCCGAACAGAGGGAGAACAAGTTCCGCATAACTTGTCACGGAGCGCACACACACACACACACACACACACACACACACACACACACACACACACACACACACACACACACACACACACACACGACATAACTTCTCAACCTGTCACTGGTGGTTTGGTGTGTCACATGGCTGAATTTGTAGTTCTTGTTTGGAGAGAGGCGTCTGGTACTATACTGACCAAGATGCATCGCGCTGTTCGCCGAAGGTATTGTGATTGCTCACCTGTCCTGTGCTGAGTGAGAACATACCGCCACCTGATGACAATTATAGTGAACTACATGACCGTTCTTTTTCTTTCGTTCGTTCTTTCTTTCTTTCTTTCTTTCTTTCTTTCTTTTTGAACGCATTTGTACTACATATCTGTTATTAAGTCATTCTATATACAATAGACCATCACTGTTATACCATTCTATATTATCTTATGCAGTATAATTAGTATTGTATGCTATTTTACTGTATACATTCCTATACTTATTTTGTGTATTACTTTAATTTTGATTTATAATGAAGCGCTCCTATTTTAAATTTCTATTTTTAATTTCTAATTTCCTGTTTTTTTCTCTTATGCATCTTTTCTCCTGCTGCTGTAACACTTAATTTCCCCTCAGTGCTTCATCCTGTCTTAAAATTTAATATGTCAATACACAGATAAGTAAATGAATAAATGCATAAATAAATATACAAGTATGTATATGAACTGAAATGAGCAAATTTGTGTTTTATTATTATCTTTTATTTAACACCATGATAAGAGATGTAGCTACTACTGAGGTTGTGTCCTTAGTGTTGTGTCTGGATATTTGTGACAGTTAATTATCTACAGAGGAGTACATATCCTACAGTTACAAGCAAATTACAAATGGTGGATTTTGGAACCTGATTCAGATATTTTCTGGACTAAATATCTTTACATTTTACTGCTTTTTACAAAAAATATTATATTAGCTTTGGAACCATATTTAAGGATTGAGTTCCCTTAAATAGCTGTTGGCAAAATAGTTTCTACGTATGGCCTTTTACTCATCTCACATATCAGCGGATGGGATTTCTCATCTATGTTAGAAAAATTAAAAGAAAAAATCAATTTAAAGAGGCAATCTAGCAATGGAAATTTCAGTTGCTAATGGGAAAATAAATTCAGAAATGATGGCATAAGACAAATATTTGCAATAAATTAATTTCATTCTTTATTTTTTTCCCTAGTCTGTCCTCTTAAATGCTGCTGTATTATCCATGCTATTCTCCCTCTCTTTCTCTCTCTCTCTCTGTCTGTGCTGTGCCTGCTACATCCATAAATGCCATGATCAAAGTCTCCACTTTATTGGTGTTAGACTTGACCTCTCACCCCACTCTGCCAAATGTCAGCGCTCCACATCTCTCTCCTCCAGCTGTTATGAATAAAGAGCCCAGGTCCCAGATCTTACACATCCCTGGGATACAGACT